GCAAGGATTCTGTTGTCTGATGGGAGCAGCAGCCGACGACGTTGCCCTCGCAAACGTTGCCGCCGCCGCATTTCTACTAACAATATCCACAATCGAAGCCAAATCTAATCGACTAAACTAGATACCTTTCCCCCAATGTCTAGCACTATAATCGCATTGTATTAATTGTTATTTTTTTATTTGGTAGAGCCTAAAACGCGTGTTTGTTAGACTTTCCCAGAATAGTATTAGAGCAAGCATTGCCCCGTCTCCCGTTCACTTGCAACTACTCATCCCCATCAATCTGTACGTAATTATATATGATTCTACTGTATCTTAAGCAAGTATATTTAAAAAAAAAACAAAATCTAAATGTTGCTGGTGGTATTTCATGGAAATTGCTGGCCTCATTACATTGCCTTCTTTCGAAAAAACAAAACAGAATCAAATATTAAATTAGAAACGAATTCTATTAGTTGTATATCATTAAACTATGAGCTCTAAAGTCAAGTAACAAATTGCTATTAAAATAATTTAGCCTTAAGAAATGAATTTAATGAAAGTTTGTCCGAAATCAGACATCACAATGGTGCAATATTTCGATCGACCAACTTAACTGTATTAATTGTTTAGTCAAGTCCCTTTAAATCGATCCCTGCAAACGTCTTTAACAATAATTCGAAATTATCAACTGAACCAAACAATTCAAAAGTTAATAAAAATGAATGTTCAGCTTGACAAGCTTAAGAAATCATTAGATAAACACACATACACTGAACAAAGTTAGACCTAGCCGAAAACATTTCAATAGTAAAATTAATAATTACACGGCCTTAAGATCAACATTAAGCCAATAAATTGTAATATTGTTACTCCTAGAACTAAGCCGGTGAATTCTTACAGCCGGGAAGAGGTCACATTTTAAAAATAATTATTGTTAAACCAAGTTTGACCACCGAGCTGAAAAAACAACTCGAAATAATTGCTTAGTATAGAGAGCCAAAACAATTAGTCTCTCAATAACAACATATTTTGTTTGTTGCCCCTTTACACCAACACCTTATTTATTTTCAAAATAATTATTTATTATTCGCTTTTGTATCTCATTTGGTTTATTCTATTGTGCACGTTTGTTTGTCATTATTTTATACATTGTTGTTAAATCGAGCAAATTTTAATGATCTTTGCTTCCAAATGGTAAAAAAGAATAGCATTTACAAAACAAAAACCAGGCTTATTTATATTATAGGTTAAGGTAAATGGCGAACACACATATACAAATTGGCATACCACACAAAATGCATAATTAAACAATAAAAATTTATAGTTGTATTAAAATAAAAAACAAATGTGCTAAACGCAAGTAATTGAAAAGTGTTAGCATCGTAAATGGATCGTAAACCTGTGCTAAGTGTAAGGATTAATAATAAAAATAATATATCTAATCTAAAGTAAATGGTGAAAATGAGTTTAATTTTGGATTTAGGGGAATCAAAGAAATTATTTTATATATTATTTTTTTTAATTTGGGTGCATATGTATGTAATATGTATTATTTTTCTTTCTGCAATACCTTATAATTTCATTTAATCCTAATGAAAAATGGTAATAAAATTATTATGAACTGTGGCTTCAAAAAAATACAGTTGCTTAAAAAATGTGCGTTCTGACAATTGTGCTTTTAATGCTATCGGAAATTCAATTAAATGTCTTGTTGTTTAAACGAAAATTTAAACATACAGAGAACAGTAGACTCAAGGAAATAAAAATTGTTTCCATCTTTTTTAGAGGGGTTAAGAGACATAAGAAGCTGTGTATATTCAGAGTTTTAAACTTCATTTTATTTTGCACATTTAACTAAATATGAATAAAAGCTCTAGGTTTAGAACCAATTAATAATCTGGATCTATAATTGAATATCACTAAAGAGTCGATCATAAACATTTTAGTGTGCTCTTTTGAATATAAATGTGCCTCTGATCAGTGGTTCAAAATTCCGGAAAAAAATAGTTTTATTAGTGGGAACACATAAATGGTCCTTCTCGCAAGTGTTATGCGGTTGTTTTTCTGTAGATATGAATTGTACTTAAAAGTCTTTGGGTAGTGGGTACACTTAAATTGTCGTACTCTTTTGTGTGTGTAAGTGTACCTGAAGATTGAAACCACTTTTAAAAGCCCTTAAGCAGTGAGTACACTTATAAGGCGGTTCTCCTGTATGTATTCGCAAGTGAAACTGATGATGCGAATTGTATGCAAAGGTCGTTCTCCTGTGTGTGACCGCAAGTGTGCCTGTAGAACAGAATTTCGTAAAAAAAAGACTTCAACCAGTGGGAACACTTGAACGGCCTTTCTCCTGTGTGGATCCGCAAGTGCACATGAAGATGTGAACTAGTTGCAAAAGCCCTTGAGCAGTGATTACACGTAAACAGCCTTTCTTCTGTGTGTGTTCATAAGTGTTACTTTAGATCTGATTTTGATGTGCAGAGGGTATTATAATTTCAGTTAAAAGTTTGCAACGCAGTGAAGGAGACATTTCCGACCCTATAAAGTATATATATTCTGGATCAACATCACCAGGAGCGTCGACCTAGTCATCCGTCTGTCCGTCCGTCCGTTTCCACGCAAACTAGTCCCTCAGTTTTAAAGCTATCTGCTTGAAACTTTCCCAAAAGTTGTCTTTCTATTGCAGGTAATATATAAGTCGGAACGACTATATCCTGTAGCTGTCATATAACTTAACGATTGGAAATGCCATAACTTTGGTGTTTTTAAAGTTAGGAAGTTGGGATTTTTTATGAGTATAAAGAATGCATCATGTGAATAATTTTGGAGAATATAATTTACAGAATATTCTGCAAGGGTATATCAACTTCGACTCTGTTGGAAGCTATCTTTTCTTTCTTGTTATACCCTTGGAGAGGGTATTATAATTTCAGTCAAAAGTAAATGAGACATTTCCCACCCTATAAAGTAAATAAAGTGACAAACTTAATTATTGGCACAGCAAGCATGTTAAACTTTAAGGCTATTTTTCTTCTTCTAATATGCTGATATTAAAATAAAACAAAATATTTTTAGATAGAATCATTAATTTTATGTTAAATACAAGTGACTTCATTAATTTATCTTTTATAAATAATTTATTAAAAATAAAACACCAAAGAATGGACCAAATATCCATGAACAAAATTGTTGGCACACTTGGGTTTTAATTAACTATTTTGTTTAAACTTTATCGATTTGGCCATTTTTTTAATTATCACATTTGCCTCTATAATCTTAATTATATAATGATTAATTTTATAGCTAAAATTGTTTTAGTGCCTTTGATAAGGATATTCACCCAACTGCCTTTTTCAGGCCCTGCATGATGGTTTCTACAAATGAATTCTTGTATATTCTTGATCAACATCACCAGGAGAGTCGATCTAGCCATGTCCGTCAGTTCGTCCGTCCGTTTCTATTACAAGTAGTATATAAGTCGGAAAAGTACAAGGGATTTTAATTTAACATAAATAGCTTCGGTATTTTGACCATAATAGCAGGAGGGTTGGCATTCGACCTGCATTTTCAAAAAGAATATTTATTTAAATTTGAATTCCTAAACCGATAACATTTTTTTTCAAGCAAATTTCGTTTTCATTCGTTATAAAAAACAAATCAAGAAAGGAATAAAACTATTCAAAAAATTAATATAAGTCGCAGTGCATTTATTAAGGATTTATTTCAAATTAAAAGTAAAAACAAAGAAAAACAAAAAAACTCAATATTCGGTTTTATCTTATATAACTACAAAAAAAATGTATCATGAAAATAAACTTAATTTAATATTTGGTATGATAGCCATTATTTTTTATGGCATCGCTTAAACGTTTTGGCATATTTTAAATTATTTTTTTTGTGTATTCGGGGCCAATTTTAGCACACTCTTCTTGAAGCCGTTCCTTCAAGGCCGATATGGAAGAAATGGACATTTTGTGGAAACGGCGGTCCAACTCACTCCACAAATTCTCAATCGATAGGCGATTGAGGAGGCGTTTCCAAAACTTTTGGACAGTTATAAATCTGACAGGACCTAACCTTATGGGCCTTATGTTTCGGGTCATTGTCTAAGGTCTAAGGTGTTCCTTCTGTAGCTCCGTGTTTGGTTGCCACCAAACCATGGTCTTGCCGTCACTGCCGTGCTTAGCAAGCAACGGCTTTTTGCGAGCGACTCTGCCTTTGTACCCATGATTTTTTATGGTACGACGAACAGTTTGGGCTGAAACGGTCTTCCCATAATCGGCGAAGAGTTCGGCCTTTAATTCTGGCGCACTTTTTCTTCACTTTTCGGACTATTTCCGCTTCTTCGCCACTTCTACCTCATTTTTGAATCGTTGGATGATGTCACCATGTCACCGTATTCGGCTTCATATCCAGGATTTGGGCGGTTTCCTTATAAGTCTTGCCCTCTCAATGCAGTTGGAGAACGAGTTTTCGCTGCTCAAAGGACGAATTTTTTGGAGCTAAAACTTAATATATTCGTCTTGTTTGCTGTCAATTATTGTCACATAGATGTTGGCTTTTCTGGGAAACCCATTTTGCACTCTAATTTTTCGGTATTTGGAGTTTCTACAGCGTTTTTTTTGACGACTTTCAAAAAATACCGAATACTAAAGTATTGCAAATTTTGAGTTTTTTTTGTTTATATATATTTCTTCTGTAAATTTTGAAATTTATTTTTTAAGGTTAAGAAAATTCTCTTTTTGCCAACTTCGATCTTATTATTCGTAATCAGATTCCTGTAATACATGGATTCCAAAAATCAGACAATGGTCAGAGGTCGGGGTTTTTTGGAAGTTTATCCCGATTGCTTTTAAAAGAGCGACGATTAATTCATGTTCATCAGTTTTTTTATTGATAAATTTTTCACTTGTGAACTCTGTGTACTTCTTGTATTATAGAATTCCGTTAATATGCGATAGTTACGAGGTCGAAAAATATCGCTTTGAAGTCACAGTACTAAGTAATCGATAAATCGCCGCACAGCTGTTTATTCTGGCGCACTCTTGCTTTTGCCGGAGTAATATTATAAATAATTATAAAAATGTCTCAAGCCCCGGAATTGGCCGGAAATGTGCAGCAGAAACGGAAGATACTGAGCTGTGTGGAGTACACCAGGATCTGCCAGTTCATCAACGGCTACCACGGATTGGCCATCGACTGTGAGTTTGAGTTAAGGAACCGCTTCTTCCAGGACGTGGAGCCGATGGCCTTGACATGCATCCTGCAGTCGGAGCTCTTTAACAGGTCGCGGGGTCATCACTGGAAGCAGGACCAGAGGGGCAAGAAGCTATTAAAAATGTAAGGAAGTGCCCCTGTCCTGGGTCCCTTTACCGAACACTGGAACTATCTGTTACTTTCTGTTATTAGGCCACTTTATCAGCATCAGGAAGCATGTCCTACCTTATTATAATTTATTAAACTTTTCTGACTCTATACAAAGAACCTCAGTACAAGGTACATCAACGGTTTTACAACGATTAAAGATCATTCGAGTTTTGTAAAAATCTCACGTTCTATACCTGCTTTAGGAAAGGGACATTTGTACTTTTACCATTAATTTCACTATAAAAACATAGATCACGGTGTCCTATCCACCATAGGATTGACCAGATAAACCATGTCTCACTTACCACCAAAAATGTTTTCCCTTTATTTTTAGCTATGAGGAGCAGAAAAACCTATATGACAACGCTCTGCTGATACGAATGGCCTGTGTCGAGGGACTAAATCCAGTGGCTCTTTGCAGGATGCTGTTGCACGAGAAGTACAAGCTGCGCCACCGTTCGCACATCTCGCGGTTTCTCAAGCATCCTCATCTCATCGATGATCCAAGACTGGCAGCCAATGTGCAGCAATGCATGATCAGCGACAATCAAGAGGGCTCCATTACGGATTTGCGTCGCCGCATCATCGGCGAGGAATACGAACTGAAGCTTAAGACACTGGCCAAGGAGGCGGGTATCCACTTCTACGACGAGCAGGATTTGCGACGAATGGGATATGACAAGACGCCGGACATTAAGATGATCCTGCCATTTCTTTACAGGGGCTCTGTGATCAACTGGATCGAGAGCAAGGCCAATTTCGGGGACACCAAGGGACACAAGTTTAACATTCAACAGCAGCTTCATAGCTACTGCAATCGGTGAGAATATCAGCCTTTACGATTCAATTACTCCTTTTTTATTTAAAAGTTAATACCAATTATGCATTTTATTGGGTTGGGACACCTTTCGATCTTCCTCTGCCTTTTCCTACTTTTTTATGGTAATTTGGCAATATTACAAATGAAATCTTATATCTTTGTTTTCATTTCAGTTTTGGGCCTGGGATCATAATCTATTGGTTTGGTTATCACGAGGAAACGCCAATGATGCCGGATAATAACATTGGCATTACTGTACTTGCTGATTTTCCAGCCAAGGAGGACATGGTTTTTATGCAGCTCGCTGAGGGAGTTTCACCCACTAAAACTGCAGAGAAAACCAGTTCGACGAGTAAACTTTTGGGAGAGTTCAGAGAAGCTGGGAGTCCAGCAAAATAACGTACAAACCCCTTGTAATAGTGCAAATATTTAAACGGTGACACAGGGAATATTCCTACTTCGAAATTTATTTTTTTAACTTTTCAACAATATGTGCTTTTTGTTTGTACAATGTACACGGAAAACTTACATTTTGACTAGAAATCATAACATTTTGACTACGTTCAAGCAATCAAGTTTTTGTGGTTTAAAACATCACCCTTAAAACAATGTAAATGGTAATGGTAATGTTTTCCATTTAGACATTAGCAATAAGACAATGCTGCTGCAGCGAAATAAGTTTTTTTTAGTTATAACAATTTTTTTTGCTTTTATTTAATTTATAAATTCTCATTTACATGATTTACTCATTTGTTTATAGTACAAAAAGATTGTTTTATTTTTTCTGGCATAAATCGTATATAAAACTATAAAATATTGTAATAATCGTTGTTCATAAACCAAATCAAAATTGGAGCACGAGTAAATGTTTGTCGTATTTTAGGGATATTCAAAATTAAAATCAAAACAATCGTATTTATCTTTCTATGTGGTATGTTGTTTTGTATTATGGTGACCATTTGGGCAGGTGTTATTTTCAATGTGTAAACCAAAAATCAGCAAAGTGTATATACAAAGTTCAGCTGTGCCCTTTGCATTGGCAATTATGTTTTAATGTAAAGTTATTGTTGCAAAGGTTTCGTACCGGTAGGCAACTCGTCGATCTCCTTCAGCTTGATAAATTCATCCTTTATATGACATCAGACATCCTTCAACTCCTCGGGCATGTCGTTCTTGGGATGCTTGTTCTCGAAATGCTGCTTATAAGTTTTAGGATCGGGCATTTGCGACTGAAATATAATCGAGATTCATTCAGATTTTGTATCATAACAATTAAATTTTGACAGTTGTTCGCAAATTATCACTTTAATCCTAAATGTAAAGCTAATCTTAAATGGAATATAATTCACAAGCCAGCAAAACAATTTATTTAATTTATTAAGTTATCGGAAGAATACGATTAAAAAATATAAATTTATACCATATCACCTCGAGTAATTCTGGTTAAGTTAAAGTCGTAAAAAAACCAAAGAATGGTGAAACAATTTTAACATTGTGTTAGATAAAATAAAAAAATACAGTTAGTATTCGAAAATTAATAAATCTTGTAACCATTCAGCGAATGGCTGATTTTCTAAGTTATTTTTTAATCAAGGTTCACAAACTTTAGTCTTGTGTTATGATATGAGACTAATGTCGTTATAAATAATTTATATATTTTTAGTTTATACGGATAATATACACCTTTCTAAACTGTACTATTGGTAGTTATAAACAGCTAACCTCTTTCTAGCTACTGTACTTGTACTTAGGGAGGTTCCACTGTGGCTGGCTCACCTTGCAAACGGCGCACACATGAACTAGTGCCTTTTGGGCCGCCTTTTTCTGGTCGTTGGCGCTGTGTCCTTGCTGCTTCTTCAGTTTGGCCTGTTTCTCGGAGGCCTTCGCCTGCGACTGGATCTTCTGGTGTCCGCGTGCCATTTCTCGCTGTACAGAGGGAAATTCATAGAGTGGTTTGCGAAAAATATTATTAATTACTTTGTTTGATGTTGGGCTTTAAACGGGATTTGCAACAAATGCGGCAGAAGCGCAGTTACTTTCACTTTCTTCCCCACCCACATACACCCACCAGTTGCGAGGCCTATTTCTGAACAGGAAGTAGTTTTCGCAATCGTTGATGATTGTATCGTTAATGTACGCAGTCCTGCCGTTAAAGTGTATTGCATCTACAAATAATTACCCCCGCAATAGAAAATGTGGCTTTCCGAACACGTTCTGCGCTCTTTTTGCGAATCCAACTTAACTTACCTAATTAACCCGATTGAATTTAGTAGCCTCTGATAAATGCAAGTGCTGCAACCTTTGGATTTAGGTTCCTTGTTTAGATAATATTTTGATTTGGTACCCGAAATTGTTGACGTTTCGTCTTATAAATTTATTAATTTGTTGAGTTTTGTTTCGCTGCCAGGGTTGAATGGGACCAGATGGAACTATGGAAATGCTCCGCTAAGAAGCAGGTGCAGAAATTTGGTTGGCCTTAGCGCAGTCTCAAACCTATTAAGTATTTAACATTTAAGGGGTTTACGTTTTTTTCAGTTCCTCTTTTACCGAACCGCAATTGTTCTAAAAATGTGGTTCAAGACAATTGGTCTAATAATATATAAATTTCTGATCGTTGACATTAATTTAAAGCTAAATTGTGTTCTCTTCTTTACGAGCACCCTGACCTTAACTATGTAGAAATGGAAAACAAATTTAAGTATTTGTTAATTTCAAATTCTAGAATAATTATTATCTATTTATATAAGCTTTAAAATAGTGGTGCCGAAAAAGAAATATTTTTTATATTATTTCTAATATTTTTTATTGCGTGTATAAATTTTCACTTACAGGATTCAAAATTTTTATTGTACAAAAAGATTTGTTCACTTTTTTCATTTCTGTCATTATTCGTATAAAATTCATCTTCATAACCCAACTCAAAATGGAGCACCGAGTATTTATTGCTGTCTTTCAGTGCTAATAAATATCAAATTAAAAACATTCTTATTTATTCTGCTATGTGGTAGGTTGCTTTGTATTGTGGTAGTTATCCATTCATCGAACAATTGCATACTGTGTTATTTTCAATGTTTAAACTTAAACCAAAACCAAAAGCCAGCAGTGTGTATACAAAAAATTCAGCTGCTCTCCTTGCATTGGCAAATATAATTATTATTACTATTATCCATCCTCTTGGCGTCGGCTTTATTGTAGGCTTTTGTTTTGTTTGGGCTGTTGTAAAGTTATTGTTGCAAAGGTTTCGTACTGGTAGGCAACTCGTCGATCTCCTTTATCTTGATACATTCATCCTGTAAATGCCATCAGACATCCTTTAACTCCTCGGGCATGTCGTTCTTGGGATGCTTGTTCTCAAAATGCTGCTTATAAGTCTTGGGATCGGGCATTTGCGACTGAAATGAAACAAGATATGAGTTAATCTATACAATAAAATAAGTAAGGATTGTAGCCTATAACCGTGAGAAGAACTGACACTATTTTTGATTTTTGCCGGACTATATTTAAGTGGTTCTATTGCTATTGTCATTTATGGGGTAATCAAAAACTTATTATTTTTGAAGAATATTTTTAATATGGATAGATTGATCAACAAGGATTAATATTACGTTTCCATTTTTCTTGTATTTCGATTCTTTGTGATTAATTTGTTTCATTCAAAAACAAAATCTTAATAAATAAAGAGCGATATCTAAATATTATCCCGAACCTAGAATAGGGATCGGATTGTCAAAGCTAAAGCTACGCCATAAGTTTTTCATATACATAGTTTTAGTTATCCTACTGCTGAATTTGAACCGCCGCACTTGTTTGGCACTACGGAGGTTTCACTGTAGCTAGCTCACCTTGCAAACAGCGCACACATGAACTAGTGCCTTTTGGGCCGCCTTTTTCTGGTCGTTGGCGCTGTGTCCTTGCTGCTTCTTCAGTTTGGCCTGTTTCTCGGAGGCCTTCGCCTGCGACTGGATCTTCTGGTGCCCGCGTGCCATTTCTCGCTGTGTAGGAAATGTAAGAGTTCGTAAAAAGTCATTAATCATTGGGGGCTTTTTTCAACTATGTAGGCTTAAACGGAATTTGCAACAAAGGCGGCGAAAGGGCAACCTTTTCCCCCGCAAAAAAAATTACAGCCAAGGTGGATTTTTTCGTAGGAAATCATTTTTCCGATCTGTGTAACTCATTGAAATTAAATCAAATCTGAAGTGACACTGTACTGCAACAACAAAAAATCACCCCCCGAAAGAAAATGTGGCTTTTTGACCACGTTCTGTGCTCTTTTCGCGAACCCATCTTCACTTACCTAATTAACCCGATTAAATTTAGTCGCCTGTGCTAAATGCCGGTGTTGCAGCCTTTGTATTTAGGTCTACTTCGTTGTGAAGAAACGGTTTTGATTTGGTACCCGAAATTGTTGACGTTTCGCCTTAGAAATTTATTAATTTGTTGAGTTTTGTTTCGCTGCGAGGGTTGAATGTGACCAGAGTTGCAATATGCACGAAATGCTCAATAAAAAATTCACCGGGTGGAGGTCTTTGGTAGACATTTTTCAGTGACCTAAACCAATCTTATATACGTGATGAAACACGTCGTTAAAAAACAACGCAACGCACTGACGTAACTTAACTTAATTATTATCAACGCAGATAAAGTTTAAAAGTTATTTGGCTCGAGCACCATAGCTGACATAAAAATTATTGGCTTCCTTGCACAGGATATTAAATTGGTAATACATGAATCAATTTATTTAAGTTGTTTTTTTTCAAAATTTTATAGCACCGTTATTTAAAAAAATACAACATTTAAAAAATCAATTTACAGGGTATAATCAAAGACCAATATAATCTCTAAGATGCGTAACGCCCATACATTGGTTTTGCCAAAGACCAATATAATCTCTTATATTGGTCTTTGGTATAATGCTGGTCCACCTTTGAGAATTACATAATAAATGCTTATAAATCGAAAAATGTGAAAATAGGTGTGTCACATAAATCTCTTTTCGTTAAATTTGAATCTCTGGTAATCTCTGGCTTTTAAAAAATAAAATAAATACTAATTTTTAGTGACAATAAATATATATTTTTAACAACACTTATTTAATGTATGTATTAGTATGTATGAAGCATTTTATAAACTGTTTCGTGAAAAATCGGTAAAATCCAGCAAAGCTAGAAAAGGCCAAGCTGACGAGATACCATCTCGCTTAAAATATGAGATAAATGATTTCGGAGCAATTATCGAAATTTTGTATACTGTAATTATTTTTGAAGTCCACTTTTTTATTGTTGCCTTTGATAAAGTTTCACTTTTATACCAGTAATAAGTTTAATAACTTACCTTAACAACTATTTCAAATTATGTAGGGCTCTATAATGAGTATTACAAAATTAATGAACGATTTATTTGTAGAAACATGTATGAGCGAAATCGCATACTCATAAGAAAAACAAAATGTGCACGAACAAAAATGGAACCGTTCCAAAATGAATTTTGTTTCTGTCGATTTAATTTTGTAGACTTCACAAAAATTTTTATTATAAGCTCGTTGTGTTTTGCCACCTTAAATTGTTCTAAAAATTAAATCTCAAATTTATATTTTTTCAAACAAGCTATTTAAAAGAAAACTCAGAATACAAATATAAAATTTGACTTGTATATTTATTCGGTAGAAAACTTAACAAATTACAACTATTTGGAATTATACCAGCATACTGGCATTATTATCGCAAAACTCGTAAATATTATCAACAAACTGCATTTCCAGCATATTTTTAGCAACTTGAGGGGTATTTTCCATTTCATTTGAGGGTTGTGGTTTTAAAGGAGTGCCTCCCTTCGTTTCTTCCAAGGTCAGACGTTTTAAATTATTGATCAGTGATATATCGTGTCTTATATCGTTTTTCAATTCGAGTAGCTCGTGCTCGGTTTTGATAATATCCTCAGCATAAGCCTCGATATTTTGTTGCAATTGCCCAACTGATACCTCCATTTCCGGTCCCTTGTACCGTTCGTTTTGCAATCGATGTAATCGGCACTTTTCCGATAACTCGCGTGTTAGTGCGTATTCCTTTTCATAGAGAACATTCATATCGGCATGAAGGGATGCCAGTTTATTGCGAACACTATTACGCAACGGTTTATCCTTTCGCCTTTTTATGCAATTATTATAATTATTGTTGTTGCATTCGCTGGGAATCGCAGTTCTGAATGTTTCTATCGAAGTTTTGGTTACCTCGTGACGACTTCGCCTTCGACGACGCTGCTTGGAAACCCGATTCTCGGCCAGTTTATACAGCTTGGCTTTGGCTGCATTTTCCGTACCCTTATATAGTTGGTCTGGCATTAAAACCAGTACTAGGTCGTCGGGCACCGCTTGCTGTTGGCCAAGCAAACTCCTCTCCCTCCGTTTATTGGGCAATTTAGGAGGTGTCTTGTTAGGTTTTGGCATTATTTTCTTCTCCTTTTTAAGATGCAGAAGTTTCTTTAGCCACTTGATCATAGAAAAACTCGTGGGTGGTTGCGAATGGGGTATTAATTGCATGGTCTGTGGATCTCTGAAGTTATCTCGATGCTTCAATGATATGCGGAGCTGTAATAAGAATAAGATTAAAAATTAGGGTAATGATTTTACACTAAGATCTTTTTCGATTTCTTTTTAAAATGTTTTTGTGTTTAAACTATTAATTGTATAATGCTTAAGCGTTATCCATCAAGGCCTTTTTTTTAAAAGAATAATATAGTTCATACAGTTCGTAGCGAATAACAAAAATAAATTATAATAGAATTTTAATAAATTATTGATCCACTAGGTTATTAATGTACATATCGTTCTTGAAAACAAAGTAATAAAATATTAACTAATAATATTTCTAGAGTAAAAAAAAAACAAAATCATGTTTCTTTAGAGATGTCAATAAAGCTATTTATTTTACGTATTGTCCTAATCCTCCTGCCTAACAATAAAATCAGCTTAACTTATTCCCTCGTGTCCATCACTCTTTCTGTCCATTAACTAGATAAGATCATCAAATAACAATTAGGAGTACGTATTCCTAATGGCTTGGAACATAAACAATTTACAACATAATTAAGCCGAATAGAAAACATGAACTTTAATATAAAAACCAATAGGCAAATTGATTTCACTCGGTGCGTCATAAACAAATAAATACGAAAAGCCAGAACATAAGTCAAATGCGAGTGGTACAATATAGAAGGCGCGGGTGTGACGACTATGGAAGGGGGATAGAAAACCGGGGGAATGGGTTTCGAGAACGACATGAATTTCACATTTCTTGGCTTGCGTGTGGCGCCAGGAAAAAAGCGCTTATTATGCAATCACTGTAGACTTTTTTCGGGCCCAGTTTGCTGGTGTTTTTTTTGTCCTTTTTTTTCTGCACGCCAGGTGGGATTCCCCTTAGTCCTTGCCATTACCTCATTGTGTACACGACTCCAAGCGCGCCAAACGGGCAAAATGGCCATGTTGCCATCGTAGCTCCGCTCTATGCCGCCCCAACTTTCCGTTATAATGTAATCGCCGTAGTCACGCGATGCTGCCGCCGTATTTCTCTGGCCGCCATCTTGTTTTTCCAACGTCCGGGAAAGCAGAAATAAAATGGAATGAAACGAATCGAAACAAAAGAATCGCAAAACGAGAAATAAAAGTAATTGTAAATAAGGAGCATAAATAAATAAAAAGGCAAATTGTGATGTACGAAACATAGCAGTCACGAGAGGATCGGCTGTAGTATTGACTTACCTTTCGGATTATTGCCGCAGTAATGGTAATACCCATCGCCGTTGCTCAGTTCGTCATCAATCAGGGCCTTGATTATGTCATCGCAAGTGGTTTTGTTCGTCACTCCCGATACGTAACGCGCCTCGCCATCGTCCATCCAGATGGGGATTTCCTTGTGGCCCTGTTCCTAATGAGTCGCCAGAAAAACGGGGAAGTACGGATATCAATAAGCAGGCTAGCAGGACATTTAGAGCGGAAATCAGGGACGGGTATGGTGTAAATGGCCTTGAGTAAAGTCTGGGGTTTGGTAAGCAGTTTCAGGGTCCTCCAACTGGATGGATTTTGGTGGGGTCATTCTATAAATAATAATAGTACATTTTAGGTCCCCTTTCTCTTATAAATACATTTCCTGTTAAACTAGTTTTTTTTTAAATAATTGTTAATGCAAATATACAAAACATTAAAGTGAAGGGTTTTTTGCTTTTGACAAGAATTTTAAGTAAATTATAACATTTTATTTTTAAAAATATTTATTACTATGTATTTTTCAAGAAATAGTTTTGTTGCTTGATTGTAAATTGTGACTACATTAGCTTAGTGTCATCTTTCTATTCTTAAAACAAGAACAAAAGAACATGTACAAAGTTTCATCATTGCTTTTATATGAGGAATAAATTTCTTGTATTTATATATATTTATATTTTATGTATGTATATATATATATATATATATATGGGAGTTAAGCTAAAAACTTGTTCAATGATCACACAATGCGTTCCTTTATAGGAAATAAAAAGGACCATGGCCAGGCCTTTAATAAGTTGCGTTTATACTAAAATCAAAAAGAAAGAGTTTCCTTACAAAGTTTGGGTATATTTGTATCAAACAAAAATTCAGTTTCCTATAAAAAGCTATATAATCCTATTAGAAAGATACCTAGTTTAAAGATACAATCGATTTTGTATAAAACGGACGCATAATCGGGGTTTCCCAAACCCCTTTTAGGAACAGGTCCTAGCGGCAGGTTCTCTTCGAGGTTACCTGTTTATGCATATGACTAACGCCAGTGCCTGCCCACCCAATTAGATGATTTGTTTGATTTCAGTGGAAAAGCAGTAGCTGCCGCAGCCGAAAATCAGGGGTGTGGGTCGGGAGTTTTCAGGGGGTTGTGTGGTGGCCAGTGCGAGGGGTGGGGGTGGGGCAGTGGTCCGGAGGAGGAGGCACTTACCACAGTGCTATTAACGCCGTAGAGGGAAATGGAACGGTGGCGACGACCGGCCTGGCCAACGTTTCCGTTTTCCCTGCCGTGTTTATTTTTGCATGCTTGCCGGGCTGGTGGTGGTGGTGCTTCGGGCGGTGCTATAGGTGGTGCTAATGGTGGTTCCCCCACCGACTCGTCCACCAATCGCTCCTCGAATGCAGCCTGCTTATTATTATTATTATTGTTGGTGTCTTGATTTTGACATCGGCGCGGCGGAAGAATGGGGCTTTCGGGTAGATTCAACAGCGATGGACAGCTGTCCAGATTATCATCGATGAATGTGGAGTTCTGTTGTTGTGGCGCCATATTCCTTTGCCCCGTTGAAAAACCTCTCTAGCTAATTGGCACTGCAACGAACAAAAAAAAACACAGTTAAATGTAGTGAACATGCAATATCCTTGTTAGACATTTTGTTGGTTCAGCTGGGTGTTCGCCTACGCCGAACGATCAATTTAGATTTGTTGCCGCGATTAAATAAATTATGCAGTAGCCCTACGTCGTACTATATCTACACCTATATGGTGTATGTATATATAAATATATGTGGGTACACTTGGCTATAGACACGATGCAACCCCGTCTAGATTCCTAGAAAATTGCCTACCAACGTCAGTTGGCGCCAGTGGCCCATTATTCAGGAACATTGCCGGCGTTTAGCCTGTCGCACCATCCCATCGCAATCCTACGAGGCCTACTAAGCCCCCCTTTTCCCGGCTCACGGCCCCACTAGGCCCCACATAATTTGCTGTTCGGGGGGCGTTGTACGGACCTTGCAGTTTGTATGCAAATTCGGTTCTCCAGCCGAAAAACATTTTCCTTTCTGGTTCATTTTCTCTTTTTTGCGTTGCAATTGGTGGCCTGACTGACTTATGAATTAATGCTAATTTATGCCGCCGGAAAATGCAGCGAAGGAGCTCAAATTGTATAGATTGTCGGGGCACATGATGAAATATTTTTGGCGAACAAATTACAGAGCGTAGGTGTTTAATCTGTTTGGTTTTGGCTGAAAAACGTCGACACAGGCAAGTCCTTTTGGAATATTGGGGTTCATTGTTTTATTTTCAATTCACAGGTTGTTTTTAAAAAACAGCTACCATACCATTATCATTTATTAATGTGTTACTTTAAAGACATGGTTTGGATTTTTAAAATGAAATCACTTTTTCTTATAGATCTTAAAGATCAGAGCTGAAGTTTGAAAGGAAATTCAATATTTAAAATATTAAAAATATAATTTTGTTGTTCTATTAAAAGTTCGAATTAAGAAGCCTTTAAATTAAATAATATTAAATTGATCCCTGCAGCACTTAAAATAATTCAATGTTTTGAAAACTAAATTAAAGTAGAAACACGGTCAGAACTACAATTGAAATGGAATTTACAGAAGTTTTCAGAATTCCCTCATCAAGTATTTATTTTCTCTCTGAACTGGGGCCTTAGCTATGGGCCACGCCCCCTTTTATATTAGAGAAATGAGTTATGAGTAAAGCAATTTGCAAAAGGATTTCCACCTGCACCGGTCTGCAACCGCCATACGTCCTGCCGCGTAATATCCTTGAGTGTGTGCTGCCTTTGATTGCGGTGGACACCTGGACATGGCTACGTTCATTTAAAAATGTAATTTCCAATCAAGATAAGTTCAAATGTAAATTTCCTTTGGCGAGGTCAATTACTGAACTCTGACCCGCCCCCGCATTGCACTTAATTGTTTCGAGGGAATAAATGGCCACCCCTTATTACACATTTATGGGCGGCCTGTTGGCCAAGTTAAGAAATACTCCTGACCCCCCAAAAGTTCAATGTCTCTAAAGTTTAGCCAGCGATTGGATTTCACTCTTGGCATATTATATTTTTAACTGTTTCACAATTTTAGCCTGGCCCCAATTAATTGCTCCTGTGCAATCCCCCTCGATATTTCCGTTGCGTGTTGGGGTGAAATTAATTTTGTTTGGGTACTGCGCATTGGATTCTAAAATGAAAATAGAGGCACCAACGCAATCGTGACGTTAGCAGCTCACTGGGGCTGGTACAGGGGGCGTATGAGTAATATTGCGATGGCTGTTTGATTTGATACTATAGAAGTCGAAGCTCAAACTTCCGTAAGAAAAAATCTTTTTCAAGTGGTGATAAAACTTTTTTATGGCTTGCCATGACTTTTATTTCCGGTCGAATATATAATTAAGTGTAAGAAACTGGTTACGTTTGCTATAGTCAATATGGATTGCTTTGGTTTTATTGAAATACAATTTTATCTCCATACTTAACATATATATTTTACTTTTGAGTAATAAATGAAACTATTTGGGATGTTTTTTCAGAAAAAATTTGAGTTGCCTTGGAAGTCTCTAACTACTTTTGTGGATTACAAATATTTTTCCTTTAACATCCTAACCTTTTTAAATATTTATATAAATTATAATTTTTTTATTTAAATAACCGTTATAATTTCCCATTTCCTATATCCAAGTTTTCAGACTTTCCCCATTTTCAATCAAAGTCCAAGAACTCTCTGCTAATTTTATGTGTGTAAACTATTAATATATTTTGCGTTTCAAAATTGTTGTTTAAAGCAGTCGGTTAAATTTTGGCACCCGCAGAACCACAGAATAATAAAATCAACTGTGAATTCTCCCAGTGCCAAGATTCAAAGGCAGCTAGCTTGATCTTGGGTTCCAGAAACACAAAAATCTAGGGAGATGATCTCCTGAGATCGCTTACCTCTTAATACTTTTCCAAAATGCGGAAGTAAAATTACACTTTTTCAGGTGATCCTCTTGGGTTTCTGGCGGTTTTCCTTTAGTTTTTGGCAACTTAGTAGGTAATTGGGCTCTAGGAATGGTATTTCTGAGCGAGCTTCACTGGTTCACACATGCTGCAGCTGCAAGGACATGCTAATCCTTTGAGCTTTGACACTTGACTGAAGTTCAAATTTGAATTTGCGGCTATGTAAGGTGAGATAGGCAGCGACGCTGACGTCGCAGTCGGCGCTGACTGCGCTGCCGCCTACCGGCTTGATAATATACGAGTATATAAAAATGTTTCTAGATCTAGACAGGTGCTAATGTTGCTGTCCCTGTCGCTAGCACTCGAATCGAGCCTGGCACTGAAAGCCTTTCGCTCCGTTCGCATTCAAATTCTCCACACGGCACAGGTCCTTCCTGCTCGAGGAATCGTTGTTGCCACTAACAACGTTGCACAACAAATAACTGAACGGCGTATCCTTGACGACGGCAAGTGACTAACTAAAATTTTATTTGCTACCACACAAAACTTTAAAGCAAAAAGAAACGAGCCCGATGGAACGCACACAACGACACACCTGGCGCTGCGGGAAAGAGAGCGTCCGAGGGTAGGTTCCCTGCCCCTGTTGTCGTCATCATCATCATCATCATCATCCTGCCACGACTGCCCCACCGTCTTTGGCCAACCACCAGCCACCACCGAAATTGAGTAAAAAACACAGAATAAACGCCCGAGTGTTCCTACCAATTTCCACTAGCCCTAGCCTTCTAGAACTTCTCTCTTTCGGCCACGACCACCAGCACTACCACTACTACTACTACCACTTCCACTACCATTACCACTACCACGACCACTCCCTTCGCTCTTTTGTTGCAGTCCCAGCTATTCCGTAAGCGAACTATAGCGTGTGCTACCCGCCAGCAGCACCAACACCAGGAACCATCAGGAACCACCGCTAACACAGCAATACACTGGGAAAAATATCCAAAACTAAAACCATTTCAATGTTATCTATCCGCAGGTTTTCACATTTGCGGATTTTCTATGTGCTCGGTTAGTGTAGAAAAATTCTGATAATTGACCTAAATATATTATACTTTTTTTTTTAATTATGATAAATAATGGGTCCAAGCTTTGAAAAATTGTGTTTCTTGTTGTTAAAAAACCTTTAATGTTTTAAATATTTTGTATTTTAATCAATAGCGCTTTTGACCTCGTTTAATTTGTTGTTCTAATGCTAATAGAATTAAGACCAAATTGTTAGTAATTAATTGATTTTCATTTTCAAAAGGTTAAATATCAAATTGCTTAAAAATAAAATGTAAAGTTGAATGTATAATTTTTAAATTAAAGTTTCTGAATTAAAGGAAAACATTAAAACAAAATAACCCACCAAAGGGCCTTATTAAATGTTGAACTTTCACCAACCAGCTTAATATATTGTGTTTTTCTCGGTGTACCAATGCCATGACGCGCACTTTGCGTTATTTGGTAAAACGAGATTGTTGATAACGTGCCACCAACAACAGCAACAAAGAACTATAAAAACTAGCGGTACATAAAAAACGAATTTCTGCCTTGTTTTTATTCACCCCCTCAATACTGCCCTCACCCTTCACCCAGCCTATCCTGCCACCCCCACCGTTTTTTTCGCCGTGTATTTTATTGTTAATGGGCAGCATTTGCTTTTCGATTCTATTTTTTTTCGAATTTTTTCCATTAGTTGTACATTTGTTGCTAGTAGATTTTTTTCAACCAGGATCAAAAAGTTCAGGACAGCAGAGGGAGGAAAACTATATGGGATCGAAATCGTGAGGGGTTAAATAATGCTATCTAAGAAATAGTGCTAATGGATTAAGCAGCAGGCTTTTGGGGGCTTTTTTTTTTGGTTTTTATTAAATAAAAGTACGTAAAAACAAAGACGTGTAGGTCTAAAAATAAAAATATTTTATTAAGATAAAAGGTAACAGACATAGAAATTCTATAGCAGTATGTTTTCAATCAACCAATCTTAAAAATGTATGGTAGAAAAACAGATCGATCCACGATGACGTTTGTATATATTTACTGTGGCTCCAACTCCTTTGGTTAAGCTCCCTATAATTTCCATTGGACTCATTAGGATTGGGCAATACAAATATTCAATAATGCTCGAGCTCATTAGGAATCGATTCGATAGAAGTACTGCCCATAAAGCACATTGTAGAAATTACAGTTGCCAAGAAAATGTGGAACCACTCCTGCGGAATTGATGGCAGGTGCCAAGTTATCTGTGTAATATGACAAACTGCCCCTTCTTGCAAGTCATTACAACTTGGCTCAGTAATGCTCAGGCAATTGCATTTAAAACTAGAATTTATGTAGTACCTAAACCCTACCCCCAAATGGGGAAAAAAAACAATTATAAACACGCAAGTTGCCCATTTCTAAAGAAAAAGCGCGTGAAATTGTGAAGCGTTTTGGGCCAAAAGCGAATATGGCTTTGACGATTATGTAAATGATTGATTTGGAGTTGGAGCGGGTCAGCCTGTACTTACTAGCTCTCGGTGACTAGGAGTTAGTTAGGGGTGGCTAACTTGGCCGATGCGGTTCAGCGATTTCACGGTATGGCACCGCGCTCGGAATAAACAAACATAATGCTCGTAATATCCTTATAATGGCACCAGCAACTCTCCGGGGGGATTATTATTACTATTACTGCCTTTTTTAGTGTGGGAACCTGTGCTGGTGGGTATTAATTTTTATTTGGGTTTTCGTTGGCCACACAAAGCGACTAATTGCCACGCCTCCCCATTCGCCTTAGCCCCCTAATTCGGCAGGTCCTTTTTGTCCATTCGCAGGCTCTGCATGCAATTGCCTGGCGCCACCTGTCAGCGGGGCATGGAGGCGCCGAAAAGGGGGCTATTTGTGGGGGTGCTGTCTGGCGTTGCATGTGTCGCATATATGGAAATTTCTTAATGACAGGGGCGTACACACAACTCGGGGCCCAAGTTCATTGTGGTCGAGTTCAGTGCTCAAGCAATGATTGAGTTTTATTGTTGATTGCCGAGCAGAGATTGCAGGTCAGCCATACAGGGTTAGATGACAGTGGGTGATGTATATGGTAAAGGGTGTCCTAATGAAAGCCACATTAGCTCATTTATGTCCTGATTCTATGCATTAAATCAATATTTTTTTAATTTTCACTATGCTCTTACCAGAACTTAACGGGGGTATTGTTAATTCGCTGCAAAATCAGCAATTTTTTACGAATTTAAATTGGCGATACGAATAGTCTCAGTAAAATTTTTGTTACCACATTTAAACAATGTATGTGAAAATTTGCACAAAAAATAGTGGAAAGTAAGTGAGATATAGGCAATCTCCGGCGGCACCTCGAAAAAAAGGTGGATTGCGGTGTACATAGTAATCACAGAATCATCTAAATTGAAAAAAAAACCAATAGCATTATTTAAAGGACAAATTTCCTCATGTAACGCTGTCGAAATTTTAATATTTTAAGTTTTTTTTAAAGGCACTTGAAAGTCAAAAGTTGTAAAAATAATACATTTTCCCAAAAACAAAAAAACTCGACAGCGTTTCCTGAGGAATTTAATAAAGAAGTACTATGCAAAATTTCAAAACGATTCGTCCAGTAGATTTTGCAGGATCCTGTACACCTTTGAAAATGGCAACTTTTCAGGAGAGGGTTTTAAAGTTTTGATCACTAATAAACTGCCCATAACTTCAAAAGTTTAAAAATAAACAAAAAAAATGTTTCATACTGTCCCCTCTTAATTTTAATACGGAATAGTTTACGGTCGAAGTTCATTATAGTTGTAGTCTTTTTATTATCATATTAATTTTTTTATTATAATTACGACGTAATAATAAATAATTTAAGAACAAATGATCAAAATATGCTCTTGTTCAAAATAAAAACTGTTACATTCATCTATTTTTTGTTTATAAAAAATATATCCAATAGTGTTGGGTGGCAACCTTTTCACCTTGCTTTTCTCATTCCATTATCGGATTTGAGGTTCTGGGGTCCTTCAGTTTTTCATTATGAACTATTAGATTCAAACGGTCTGTCATAAAATTTAAGCAGTCAGCATCAGCTGTTTTCCTATTGTTTCCTTGTTATAACCTAAACACAGATGTTCTCCTCCACAGACTGACCCTGACATAAATATTTCCTAAGATCAATTCACATGTGTTCGATTCATTCTACACCCTCTAAAAATTGTAACGTATTTTGCCGCCACAGAAACAAATATAATTCGTTTGCATCAAGGCCTAAAGAGGGGAGATTGTTACCTTTTGGGCCACTTACTTGCAAAGGAACAGAATAATTACAAGTGGAAGCCGGCAGACGACAAACGGCCAACTGCATCCAGGTAGAACTTGCCCCTTCCTCGGCGTTTCACCTTTACTTTTACCTTTACCGCGTGCCATCATCAACAGCAGCCGGCTGCTGTTGCAGGTGCAGAAGTCAGCGAAGCGAGTCCCGATCCCAGTTCAACTCAAACTCGTGCACCAAAATAAATAAAGTCCAACTTTCACAACTGATATTGTAAGGAAAAAGTTATAGTTGTGGATAATATCGATTCACCCACTCCAATAATTTAAGATGTGATTGTACTTAAAACGCTTTCAGTATCATGAATATTTAAAAATGACATTAAATTATTTCTTGAATATTAAGAAGTTATACAAATTTTTTTCTGTGTACCCTCACACATTCTCAGAGCCAGCAGACAGTTGCCATTCTTGCGGGGCGGAAGGAAGCTGTTGCGCGGGTCAAAACACTTGTCCTCGTTTGCCGGTTCCGAGTTTGAACCTTTTGGTCGAACCTGTTTGCTGACTTCTCTGGCAAGGGTCGGCCCTTACGTCTGTACTTTAAGAAATAGTAATACGTTTTATTATATTACGTCTGTACTTTATGAAATAGTAATACGTTTTATTATATTAAAAAAACAATTTTTTCATTTTTATTTTAAGCACAAAATAATGTTGAAATTTACTACTCGGTTTAACCCCTAAACTAATATATTAATAAAAATCCAAATTCTAAAAAATTGAATTACAAATTTTTAAATATACTCGAGGATATGTTATTCCTTTTAAATACACAAATTATATCTTCTTTTTTATGTTAATTAGAAATATAAGAACACATTCCGAGATGTTTTTTAAAATTTCAGAATTAATTTAACTAAAAAGGCTGCTGATATACATTCAAAAATGTATCGGAAAATCGATATAACTTTATTGCTATTAAACATGTACGCATACATATCAAAACATTGTCCTTTGATTATATTTTGCAAAGTACTTCGGAAGTATCTTTACCTTATGTATAAAAGGCACTCTATGGATAATTAATTTTTTCTCAGTGCAGTAGCAGTGGTAGCCCCAGTGCATTCAGTTGTCATTCTCTGAGCAGGTTGTTTCTCATGTGTGGTGCTCGATTTTAGGGGTTGTCCCGTCCCGATGTCCCGTCTTAACGGCAACTGCGACTGCGTCTGTGACTCGTGTGCATTGACCTGAAAACGCAACGCGCCTTTTTAGTTATTTATGCCTTGTTGTTGCTGGAGGTTTAACAACTACAAAAAGAGGAAGAGAAGACAATCTATAACGATTCTTACATGATTGTCGTTGGAATTTAGAGATATATCTTTTCATACTTGACAGAAATCTCTGTAGATTGCATAACATCCCACGGTAATACAAAATAATAACAATAATAGGAATCTTAAATAAAAACGAGGACGGAAGCTAACTTCGGCAAGTCGAAGTTTTAATACTCTTGCAGACTTTGACGAAATTGCTAAAAGTGAAAAAGTAGCGAAAGGAATAAGGTATACATAAGTAAACTAGATTTGCATCGTTTCAAGTCAATTGCTTTTATACTGCAAAAATGTCATATACAAATAGAAAAAAGGGATGCTTTCGCAGCCTTTAACTCTTTTTCCTATCTCCTTTAAGATATAGACTTCCGAGCGGCAAGCGCTTTTACCCTAATCAAGATATGCGTAAATAAATAAGAATTGGAAAATTTTATGTTAGTAGCTTACACACTGCGCGAAATATTCTGATAATCATCAAATTTGGACCGATTTCACCCTATTGTTCCTATGGGAGCTATAGGATATAGACGTCCGATCGTCACGCGCTTTTACTCTGATCAAGGTACGTATAAAAAAATAAGATTTGGAAAGATTTATGTCAATAGCTTTTACACTGCGCGAAATATCTTCCATTCTTGCAAGTTATATCCGATTGTTCCTATGGGAGCTATAGGATATAGACATCCGATCGGGGCGGTTTTCAAACTTGATCTGCGTACACTTGTTTTAGGACGACTGTGAAAGTTTCAGATCGCTAGCTTTTAAACTGAGCTCGCAAACGGTATTGAAACAGACGGACAGACGGACGGACAGACGGACAGACGGACATGGCTATATCGACTCCCCTATTGATCCTGATCAAGAATATATATACTTTATAGGGTCGGAAACGTCTCCTTCACTGCGTTACAAACTTCTGACCAAAATTATAATACCCTCTGCAAGGGTATAAAAATATCCAATCTGTAGTATAAGCAATTAATTAAAAACTATTTTTTATTTATAAGTCTACTATACCTACCACCCAAATAATACAAATTATTTGTTTAATTTAATATAGTGTTTGGCACAAGTCCTTTTCCCAATCCTAATAAAAAATTTGGAATATTTCAAATTTATTTAATAATTGTTATTCGTTTTTTGATTGAGACGATCTTTATTAATGCGAAGCTGCTTTGTTTATTAGTTTTCTGGTTTTGTTCGTTTGTTGTTTTTCAATTTTCGTTTTTTCAAATATTTTCTCGTTAATAACTAATTTTTTACTTGGTTTATGTACTTGGTGTATTTACATGATGTTCGTTTCTGGAATGCAATGTTAGTAAATTGGTTTTTATTATGCTCAAGATTGTGCATTATAAAAAAGTTTGTTTTATAATTATTGCGTTTGGTAGCATTGTGGGGATTTTGGTTTTTGGAATTGATCTTTAAGAAATCTACTCGTATGTGAAATAAATTGGACAACAGAAATTGCCCCAATGGCTTAACTTGTTTTTCTTTTTTCAACGTTTTTATATATATTTTCTTAACAAATCTTTAGCAAACAGTTCAGTTTGACTGGCATAGATTTAGCAAATATTATTAAAATTAAAAATTAGTTTAAAGTTATCGATAAAATTATTTAACTACTAACTGTCTTGTTTTATAAATATTTACATTTGGTTCAAAGCAATTACAAATTATAAAACTTGTGGTATTGAGAATTTAAATAGTGTTTTGTGATCTGCAATGACCACTCATAAAATATGAGTACATTTAACAGATTTTCTTAATGCATTTAAATCTCTCGTGTTGCTTTTACTAATTTTCTCTTTTGCTAAATTCATTAATGCTTTTTTAAGTGTGAACTTTTATGGATTCATTTTTAGATCTATTTCTTTTAAATATATTTTTATAATGTTACTGGTCTTTGGTTTAGCTTCTACTTTATTTTATCAGCAGTTTAGCTTGTGAGGAGTGAAAAACAATCCCAAACTGAAATCGTTATAGGGCACATAGGTCGGGTTCCCATTCATAACAACTCAAACTGTGTTTCGCTTGAAACCATCTAAGCAATCAATAAGTTGTTTTTTAATATTCTCAAAGAAGGCACCTTCACCCAAATCGATTGCTAACTAACATTTAAATAAGTTACTTGGTTAAGCTGTTCAAAAACGAATCGAATACAGTTTCTAAGGGTCCGTCTTTATCGTATTTTATTTGTACATTCCTTATATTGGCCACATATTCAGCAAATTCTACTCACATTTCATACCCTTTACCATTCTTCGCAAAAAAATATTTATCCTTGGACGCAAAAAATTTGGAGTTCAGCTTTTGTGTATTTAAGCAGCTAATTTTACAAAAGAATTCAGATTTGCTCGGCATTGCTTGTTCGAAAGTTTACTTAGCACTTCCATTTCATCAGATTAACTTTTATGTTTTTGTAAATTGCAAAAAGATTGTCCTTGTCTTTGGGTTTTCTTTTCTTTTAGTTGTATTTTAGTTTTTTTTGTTAAATAAGAAATAATTGCGAAGAGCTTGCAACATGGCGAAAAGAAAATTTCCCAAAAAATCTACAAATCTCTAAATTCATAAATTTATTTATTTGCAATAAGCATTTGTGTATACGCGTATTGTGTTCTATATAGATAATATTGTTTAAACAATTGGTAACGGTGGCCCTCAATAACCTGCTCTCAATTAATTTCGCTAAAATTTCGTTTGCAAAGGTTCGTTTAAGTTTATTTTTGTTGTGTTGTTTATCACAAGGTTTAAATTTGGTTTAGGCTTAAATTTGTTTGGATTTTAGGTCGTGCTTCTTTGGGTTTTGTTAATATTTTATTTGCCCTCAAACGTTTGCAAATCGTTCGCGACATACATTTTATCTAAAATACTTGGGTGTTAGTTTTGTGAGTTTATAGTTGGGTTGGCATATGCTTCATAGCTACTAATGAGAGTTTTATAAAGTTTCTTGTCATATATTTTTGTAAATATTTAAGTTAGATTTCTTTTATGTTTCTTCTATGAGCTTTGATATGTATATTAATAAAAGGTTTTAGGCAATTCCTGCTGCTACTTAAAAAGGCGTTGATGTATTAAATAAGATGAATGACGGTGTACAAAAGTCTGTTTGGTTAATACATTTTTATAAAACCAAATTATTTCGTATGTTTTTATTTCACCTGATTTTTTGTTTAGGAAAGCTTATTCTGTGGTCTACTTGGCGGCGGTTCCATTTCTACGAATTTCTGTGATGCGATAAGAGAAATTTCTGCTTTATCAATTGAACATTTATTGAAAAAATAAACAGAATTTAACTAAACATATAAATAAATATTATATACAATATAGCATAATGTAAAAATCTGTGTGATGATTAACAATTTGTGTGTTCTGTTTGTTTACTCTTTGACATATGCGGAGGCATTTCAACTCATCGAATTGAGTGGAACAAAACTGGGTTTTAATTTCATAATATTTGACTAGAGCTGTTGTAAATATATAACATCTATGTAAAGGTGTATAAACAGGTTTGCATCTTTTCGACTACTCAAATAGGTAAAGCCTTAAAGCTGTTTGGTTTGCGTTTCATATTTCATAATTATAGGCTAGGTCTTTTTATCTTCTTGGATCGTGTTTTTTGGTACTTTCAGCATAAATATCTTTGCTTAATAAATTGTTTAAGTATTATATATTACAATTGCTAGACAGTGTTTCTTTGGTTGGTATAATTAACTAATGCATTTTCGAGCATATGCAAAAATTTGCAAATTTAATTTAAAGTTTTTTTTTTTGGTTTGTTTCTACTATTTTTAAAAAAGGCAGTCGAAAATGTTTCTTTCGTATGTTTGCTCATTTGCATAAATTTAACTCTCGTAAATATTAATTATTAACAACTTATTCATTTTTGTTTTGTCCCCGTTAACAACTCAGTATAAACTAATTTTTCATTTTGACGTTTTTATCACTGGTTTTGTCATGTTGTTGCCATTTAAATAATCGTTAATGTAATAATCGTTAGATGTACTTTGTGTTTCCCTTTGTTACATTAAAATTAGATGACTTTGCAAGGCCCTAGAACTTAGCAAACGAGTTTTCATGACAGTTTGCATGTTTCTCTACAAATTACTTTAAGAATAATGCATTCTCTCGGCGTTCGAGCTTGCTTTTCTGGCTTTGCTTCGGCAATTTAGCGTGTTCAAGTATCTATATATGTATGTTTATGCATTATTTTTAGTGTGTTTTGCTTAATTTTACGAAAATCCTTTATAGTGTACAAAGAAGAATATCAGAAAAATGGCATAAGCGGTTGGAAATGTAATTCTAGCGATGACATCGATCGTCTTGGCCACTCGAATCGGATGGGGTGGCTCTTTTTTCCGCACTTGAACGAAGCAGGTCTGAAAAATAAATTGTAAATTGTAAACAGTTTTCCAAATTTGTTTTGAAAATTAGTTTCTCCGTTGCATAAATATATTTGTTTGTTTGCTTATGATATGCCTAAAAATCTATGTTAATCAAATATTCATTGTGTTGCTGTTTTGTTATCAGATTAAAAATTTATAACAAAAGTTCAAAGAATTACATTTTGAAGGTTTCTTTTATGTTGGCAGCAAGTGAATAAAAAAATGTATGAAGATTCAAATAAAATATAATCTTGTAATCTAGTTAATTTATACAGTAAGACAAACGACTTTTAAAGATCCAGGTGTAATAGTTATGGTAGTCAGAGAAACTTATTTTCGAATATGATTTTGGGGGATATCAAGGGATAATCTCACCTCCGTGGCACAGCCATTGTTCGCAGAATGGGTGCACGGACTGTTGCTGCCGCCGCAGGTGGTGCATGCCACAATTTCGTTCGGGGCCCCGGCATCTCGTCGCTTTTCGCCCTGATAGACGGCGGTAAATTTAAAAAACTTATTCGTTAATTTTCATTGGGCCATGGTGGTGGTTGGCAAACAAGTTGGCAATTTACAAGTCAAATACAATTTGTGAAAAAGGAGTTATTTACACATACATACACACACATACGCATACGAAAAAATTAACGTAAAATTGGTTTGGCAGTTGCAGTTTGGTTATATTTTGGTTGTTTGCAGTCAGTTTTTGCAAAAACCCAGCAAAAAGCATATAAATATGTTAAAAATATATGAAAAAAGGTAGAAAAAATATTTTATTTATTAAAGTTTATTAAACATGTGGCACAAAAATTGAAATTGAAAGTCAATAAAAATATCACTACGAAATTTATCACAAAAGCGCTTGAAATGCTTTTACAAATTTAACTACAGAAATAATTTTTAAAAATGTTTAAGATTGTTAGGTCATATACTTACGGGCTTTTAAATGTTATTATTATGTTTTTTTTTATTTTTGTCAGTGGCAGCAGTTGAAAAAGCAAAGAAGAGCAAATTCGATTTTAGTACATGGTAGTCTATTTATAACCACAGCGCAATTTAATTGAATTTTTAAAAATTTATGTCAAATTTTACTTAATTGTTTGCACGTACAGTATTGTATTCATTTGTTATTTTTGTTTAAGCTATAGCAATTTGTATAGAATTTTGTATTTCGATTGATATGAGAATGGCATGAGAATTTTGCTGTGTTTTTATTTTTAAGTGGGTAAAAATGAAAATTGGCACAAATGTGATGAGAATTTAAATTTCAAATTTAAATAAAACACTAACTGTAATACGCTTTGATTTCTTTTGAAAGTTTTTGTTATAGAATGTGTAATTGTGTTTGTTGTAGGTTCAGTGTGATGTATAATGCTTTCTCGGGTGGCATTCGGTTATTTATGAATACGAGTATATTTAATGATTGGCCATGAACACATACATAGTTTAGGTACATTTCGGTTGAGTTTAGTGCATTTCATTGTGTGGGCTAAAGCGTGCTCTATATTGGATATTATTAGGCAGAGGTGTTGGGGTAAAAACACAACAAAGCTTGTAGCCTTTAGACTGGTACTCTATATACAGGCCTTTCACTATATAAGCACACATTGAAAAAATAGCTAAGGGTGAACATGTAATATCTTACAATACAAGTTGAACGCATTTAATATTTATTTTGAGCTGAAATATAACTCTTTTCGCTGCAATTTTAATTGTTTCAGCAGAAAACGTTTTTAATTGCATAACTACACTGTTACTAAGAATGTTGTAATGTTGTAAGCTTAATTAACATCAAAAATTTGTGAGCGGTTTATAAATAGTCCAATGGGTCGTAGGTGGCAGGCTAAGAAATTAACTGCGTCCGCTCGCAAGTATGCTACAATTTATTGCAGCTACAGTGGCACGTACTGCCAAGTTGCATCTGAAAACGCCAACGACGCAGGGGGAAAATAAAGGGGATTTTCCGGGGGATTGGGGACTGTTGGGTGGTTGGGCGGTTGGGTGGTCGGGAGGCAGCTGAATTGTCTTCGTTTGCCAGCAGCTGGCGGCCATTTGCCGAGTGCACAAATGCAGCCAAAGGTGGCTGAAGGGGTTGCGAAAATAGGAAAGCCGGGAAAATGGGAAAATGGGAAAACGGGGAAACGGGCAGGGAGGAAACAGTTACTTAGGTAAGATGTATTATGCGGGTGTGTTTAAGCAGCCAGAGAGCCGGATAACGTGGCTGACCTAAATTAAACACGGTAGCTGTGCCAGAACTCTGCTTCTCGTTATTTTCTCCAAAATCAACAAGGCATTTTAAATGACCGTTGCTGCAAGAGTTGTGTACGACTGTACAAAGAATCGGATATAGATCATATATGAACAATTATTCTAGCTATATTATTTTATTTTGTAGTGTATTTCATTTGTTTTAAAATAAGTTCATTTTAAGGAACTATTTCAAATATTTAAAAATCAAAAGAGTTATGTTTTTAGGGGTATGATGATTTCCCATATATTTAAAGTTAAGTGGTCCCCAATTATCTATTTAATTTTATTAACACAATACTGGAGAAAACACTTGAGATAAGCATGTCAAGCGAAGATTTATATGCCCAGTGCAATTAGCATTGGAAAAACGTGTGAAGTAGATGTATCTTTCCTCGCGAACTTTTCGACGAACTTTCCTTATTTGCATAAGTCTCCCGAAGGAGAAAGTGCTACTTTAAAATGGCAGGCTCAAACTTTTCCGCTGAAAATCCTTGCGCATCCTTTCGAGAAATTTTCGGCTATTATGATGCATGTACCAACGTGTTTTATTTTCGTTTTCATTTTCATTTTCGTTTTCTTCCTCCGGCTTTTCCGCAGCATCCTTCGCTGCCGTTTGTTTGTGTTCCATTCCCGTGTCGTTGGTTTTTCCGGTGCTCTCGGGCTCATTACGGCATTTTCCACTTTGGGGCGCTCATGAATAATTATGTTGTCCTGTTGCGGCACAGTCATCCCGGTGTCCACCTGGCCGGGCGCCAATTTAAACGCGTACACCATTTTTAATTTACATGCTAATGGTGGAAAACATTTTCCCAGCCACCTTGTTGTTGACGCTTTTCCGTTTCTGTCCGCTGCAACTCCTTCACGGACTTCGTATCCCGGTGCTCTGGTTCTGTCGGAAGTCGTCGTCAGCGTTTCACAATTTCCCATAAAATAGTTTTGCTGGAGCACGGTCTTTCGTCACGCCCTCTCGAGTCGGTTTTATTTGCTTTATGGCGGTTGCATTCCTATCTTGATGGCGGCTCTCCTCCTCCATTCCGATAAGTTTGATTTACTTGGGCACTTTTGGGGGGCGTTCTAGTGATTTATGCGATGGAAATTGGTTGCAAATCTCAACGACGAAAAGTTGGGTTTAAGACTTTTCGCCATAATATAAAAAAAAACTCGTAAGTTTTCATGTTAACAATTTTGAAAAACTATCACTTAAGTTTTCCCGCAAATTACTACGAAGAAGCTTTTAAAGTTGACCTTGACTTCATTGGAAAAGTAAAGAAAACAGGGATTTTGTTTTGGTGGCATCAGAAATAGCCTATCTTTCGAATAAATATCTATTTGGGCGATTTAATTTAATGTATGTTTTTATAGTTAACAGTTTAAGCCACTGAATAAGGCTAAACTGCGTTGATAACCCCTTAAGCTCTAAGCTAATGACTTAATCACTTAGTCTAAGGGTAATTAGTTGAGAAAACATCTTCATTGCTTGCATTTGATTTCGCAAGACAACTTTGTCTGGCTTTCAGCCCTAATTGCTTAACCTATCGTTTCCTTCGGCCACCAATTCCTCTTAACTGCTCATGTCTAATGCAGTTACTCTTGTTAGTCATTGTTAGTCTTTCATTTAAAGTTCAATTGCAAGTTTTGGGAAAAAATCCAACTTTGAGTGTGCGTGTTTGAGGGTGTTTTTGGGTGCATTTAGTGGGTGTTTTTTTTTGGCAATGGCAAAAGGCAAATGGCAATCAAAATAACCGCAGGCAATCAAGTTTAGTGAGGGGAGCACACGGCCAGGGACGAACTTCGATGTTCGCCTTGGGGCCAACTTTCCTCTTGCTGACGATTTTCTTGGCTCCGGCTTCTGTACATTGTTATGGTTAGTTATTAGTCGGTTGTGCAAACAACAACAAGAACGAATGTATTTTGTTGGTGGATTTTATGGTTAGTCTCGGTGGCGAATCTGCCGCGTCCTCTACTCACTGTAGTGTCCGCATTCTCGAACGCATCCGTGCCACTGCACTCGCCGTAAACCGAGGCTGGAGAATTCGAGCGCGAGGTCTTCCGGCGCGGCGGCTTCAGCGGCAGGGGCAACTGCCGCTCGGTCATTTCCATATCCTGGGCGGGCTTCGGGTCCGCTTCCAGATCGGTCTCGGCCTCGATCCGCACCACCAGGGCCGGCGTACTGGTGGCCACCGATCGGCGCAGGGACGAGGACTCCGCCTCCGCCTCCTCCTTCACCTCGTCCTTGAACTTCACCTTCGTGCTGGTGGCACCGGAAGTGGCTCCCCGGGCTCCTCGTATATATGCTCAATGGGCCGTCCACTGGGATTCGGGGATACGGAGGTGGATGGACTTCTGGCCGCCTTCCGCTTTATCGAGCGTGCCCGCAGATTCTGAACCGCGGCTCCAATGATTCCGCCGTGCGCCTCCTGCCATCGCATGCCGCCGCCGAAAAACTCCTCCGGATCGGTGGTCCTTGGCGTTCCGGGCGTGGCCACCGAGGAGGAGGCGGCCGGGGTGCCACCGGACATGGGCGTGGCACCGCCCATCATCGACATGGCCGGCGTGGCCGCGGCGCTTGCCTTTTCGGAGGACAAAAGCGGCATGAAATTCGCGTTCGATTATTTCCTACAGAGCAGGTTGGTTGAATGGGGATAGTTTTTTGTTTTGGATTGGTTCTGAGCTTTGTTTTCTTTATAGTGTTTGTTTTTTGTTTCGAACGCGAGGAAGAGAAAGACAATTTTCGGAGAGAGACACACAGGTGGTTTTAGTCAGGATAATCGAAGGCCACACAGTAATTGGGTTAATTGATGGGCATTATCAAGAGAGGTTACTTGGATTTAAGCTGTTGTCGTGAAAAGGTAAGTTAGGTTGGCTAAATAATTCCACAAATCAGTGGGTATTGTTTTCTTTTTATTTATTTATTAAACTTCCCCAACTGGCTGGGAATTCAATTTTAAATTGTTACCTTTCGCACTAGAAAACTTAAAATTCAAGTTCTTACGAATGTTTATCATCATCATTTATTTACAAAAATCAAACCAGACAATTTCAATGTGCTTAAAAAAAACTGTCGATTTTTATTCATGTTATTTTTAAAAAACTTTGATGGAAAAAAACTTTAAAAAAAACTAGTTTCCATTAAAAGGCGTTTTAAAAAATAGTTGATTAGTAAAAGGAAACAAATATTTTATTGCTTATTTTCTATATTACCCCTTCAAAAAAAGCCTATCTCTATTGACTAATTGCGAAAGTACTTGGACTCTTAAATCAGTTTTATTGATACCCATTAGAGCATTCAACGATGTTTTTGGTGTCTAGTATATAGATTCAGTGTTTTTATATTTTTTGAGAAACATACAGATGCACAAAATGCAATAAAACCAAACGCTCAAACAAAAAGCTTTCAAGCAAACACAGACAACACAAAATAACGAATAACAAAAATGCTTCAGCTACTACTTGTTAGTATCATAAATAATAGTGACCAACATTTCCGGCACCATATTTCGCTTTTTTTGTTTGAGTAAGCCAAAGAACTATTTGTTTTATTAGTGGTAGAGGGCGTGTCAGAAAATCAATAAAGAACTTAATTCAAACGTATATTTGTTCAAGGCAGAATTCATTTACTAAAATTAAAATGTAAATCAGGGCCAAATAACAGAATTGATTTATAGCTTTTTCGATATAATTTTTTGTATAAGTAAAAAGAGAAAGAATATTTTTCCATATTAATTGGTAATCGTTTTTTTTCGCTTTTTTGTTACAATTTTCTCTCGTAACATTTTTCCCAATTGTAAGTGACCTTAAAGTGTGTTTTATTGATATATATTTTTTCATTTATTTTTCATTATGAGTTTTTATATGTTGTGGTTGTAGTTGTCGTTTCTGCAGTTGATTGTGTGGAAATAGATTCTTCAAAAACAATTATGTTACGCATATCATGTATGCATAGAATTGGCTGTCAGGTGTTTAAGTACATTACGAGTTTGTTTATGGTGGATAAAAAACGAAAAATCATAAATAAATTATACAAATAATTATCGTTTTAAATATGGAGTTATATACATTGAAAGCGAGTGCGAATCTACTAGGTAATTATTTAAATTTGAATTATAGTTATTGTTATTTTCATTGGTTTTCCGTTTGGCGCGAAATTAAATTAAACACGGTTTTGGGAAACACAAAAACCAAAATCGAAACAAAACTTGTTCAATGCATTTCATCAAAGCGAAATTCGCATGCCATTTTTCTTAGGTTTACTTTTCGCTGTTTGGTCGGGAAAGGGGGAAAAGGACTCGGGTGTGTTCTAGTGTGTGTGTTAGTTGGATTGTGTGTGTTTAGTTGGTTTTTTGCTGCTGTTTGCTGCTAAATGGTTTTGTTAAAGTTTTCTGTTTTCTCAAGGGGCGGGGCTGGGTGGTGCATGAGTTGTGGTTGATAGCTTACCAAAGGACTTGCAAGAATTACTCCGATCCTGCTTAGTACTGCTGGAAGACGCTGCAAAAATGTACACAAAACAATGTTCATACTCAAAACACACTTTAAGTTTGGTTTGGTTGTCATTTGATTGGGTTTAGTTTTGGTTTTCTGTTGGTTATTGTTTATTCAGTTCACACTTAGCTGCTAATTTTGAGAGTAAATTAAATTTGGATGGTGGTATTCGAATAGTTGCATATCACTAAAATTGGGAACAATGTTCGATTTATTTGGTTTCGCCTTCGTCTTTTGACTCTCTTTCATAAGAGGCGTTTTATTGTTGAAAAAAGGAGTTTTTGATGCATGGGGCTAAAAATTGGCATTGATTTAAGTGGCATTATGGCTGTATTCATTTTAGAGGTCTATAATAGGCTTTTTTAAATCATTTTTAATAACATGCCACTTAAATGAACTCCCATAAAAGGAAATCACATCAAAAAAATGCTTAACGTGCATTATAAAACGTTTTTTTCTTAATTCGAAAAGTGCCTACGTAAAAGAAAATGCATTCTTTATTGGTTTTATTTTATAAAATCAATTTTTGTTTTATTGCTTCTTTATCTGTAGAAAACAAGAAAAACATAATTAAACATACCTACCTACGGGCATGTAAAACGCTTCAATTATTTTATTATTTTTATTCATATTATGTTTGGGTTTTGTTAAAATATTTGCAAGCTAATTGGAGATGAATAAAACGCATGGTTTTCCTTACGAACGATTGTATTATACAACATTTAGGAGATAATTAAAACAAAACAGAAAACAAATGCTTATATTTTGATCGAAGGGGAAAGGATGGGCTGTTGGCACTTCTCAAGGAAAATGTCACTTCTTGGGTTAATAAAAATGCAAACAAATAATACAACTGAGCATCGGCACAATTAATACACATACATAGACAGTATTTTGATAATGGACAAAAATTAAAATCAAATCAGAACAAAAATCAAGGGGAATGTTTCGGTTTAAGTCATTTCGTTATTCGTAGGACACACAAATTTACGTTTAGTATAGTTTTAAAAAGTTGTTAGACAAAATGCTAAGTTTGGGATCAACACAAAGTGAGTTTTTATAGCGAGCATTTTGTAGTTGATAATGTAAATATGGCAATGGTTCTATTAACTAAAGACCGTTAAATAGGACTGGACAGTACACTGGATAGGTGATCAATAGTTGGGTATACGCAGATAGAGAAAAGGAGAGATATAGACGGATAGAGAGAGAAAGAGAGACAGATAGGAAGAGGGGACGCAACACAATGGCGGTAATCGAATTGTTTTTGACTGAGTTTCATATATATTTTTCTGTTGTATGACTTGGGCTCAGGTGTTTCTGGCTTCTTGAACAAAAGAAGAACAAATAACTTGAATAACTTATATAGTACGAATGTTGGTTGTCGTGTTCGCTGTGTGTGTTATTTTTTTTTTATTTCTTTTGCTCTGTTTGTTTGGTTTATATATATGTATATATTTTTTGTTGGCTTTGCACGCTCATGTAAAATTCATATTTAATTGCTTTCAAAATGCATACGAAATTAGCTTTTTTCGGGTCGGGGCTGCCTGGTGGTGTGAATCGGATTAAATGATTATTTAATTTACCTGTGTTACGGGATTCTCGCCGGGCCGATAGACGACGTTGTGCAGGGGTCGCTTTCGCCCCACATAATTGACGCAGACGAACTCCAGCAAGGAGGCGTAAATGAAGCACATGCAGACGCCGTCCCACACGTTCATCGCCGTCAAATTGGAAACAACCGGCAGAGTGCTCCGGAAACCGTTCGAGGTAGTGAAGAAATTCAGCATTGTTGTCACGCCTTCGCCCGGTTGTTGAAAAGTTGTTTCAAGTTGGTGATTGTGGATTGTAGAGAAACTTGCATTAGCCGTTTGACACGTAATTTGAAAAGCATTGCATACTTTGGGGCGGGGGCAAACGGGGTTTAGGGGGCGGAAGGATGTGGATGTATATGTATTGTATGTTCTGTGGCATTTAGTTGAGTTGTTTAATTAGTTTTGGAATATGTACAAAAGTTTTCCATTTTATCGTCCGGTTCCCGGGCAGGAGCCGTTATAACATATTGTGTTCAATTCATTTGTTTTGTTTCATTTTGTGGTTCATAAAATGTGCAAAAGCTAAGGAAAAGTAAATAATGCTACTAAATTTATGAAGGGCATTATTTCTAAGCATTCGACTTATTTACTTTATATTTTCTAAAGTGTTATAGAAATCTATGGAGAAACTCGATGTTTTTAAAATCTTTAGTTTAAATTTGGTTGATTAAATTATTTTATATGTTTATATTTAGGTATTAAATTATTATTGTGTTATATTACATTTTTTATTTATTTGTTTTACACTTTATACATTTTTTTCATTTTTTGGTTTCATAATTTATTATTTATTAATCGAAGAAAAAGTTATTTTTTATATGATTATTTTGATTTATGGCATCTAAAAGCGTTTTTTTTTATTTGAATAGAAATTAATTAAATCATAATTTAAAACACCATTATTATGAATAATATTAATATTTAATAGTGCTGTTAGTTCTTTGCTTCATTAATCAATTTATTCCCCGCTGGGCGAAGCTCAACTCCGAATCAGATTAATCAAGGCTAATGCTGACATTTAATTTTAATTATTCATCTCATGACTGCTCGTCATAAAAATGCAATTGGCCAATGGAAATGGAGCTTGTGACATTATCAATCATGGTTGCCTAATTAGTTGCGTCAACAATTCGCCAATGAGTGCAGCGGAATTTAACTGGTTTCGCATGCTACAAGGAGCTCCAGCAGAATCCGCTTCGCTGCATCCACGAACCCCATCGATTTTCAATTTGCCAGCGTTTCGGTATCCGCCCTCCGTTACAAAAAAAAAAATAAGGGAAATCTCTACGCTGCACTCAACAGCGAATGCTTCGAGGAACAGCTCGAGAGGCAAGAGGGTCCCAAATGAGGCAAAAGATGCTGCCATGCTAAGAAGGAGCTTCTGTAAAATGCATGTAATGCACACTGGTTGCAAATCCAAATTTGGCATCATCTAGCAAGTCCCGATAAAAGTCAATGTGTTTCAAAACAGGTAATAATAAAAATAACCTGAATCACCGCTTATATTGTAAGAATCTCGGAAACACGGACAAACTTTAACTCACAAACAAAAAATAACGTATATTATTAATATTATTAATAGCATAGGCAAAATTACATTTAAGTGTCTCCAAATCATCTTTACTATCACTATTATACCTAACTTGGAAGTCTTAAAGGGCATATATCTTTATAGCTTTATAGTTTTTTCAATTTAAAAGACTTTATACCAGTGGATCTTTAGAATCCAAAGCTCTATTACAAAATGATTAATGATGACTATCATGTTTTGTATGCGAACGCCTATCTGGTTTATAAAACTTCCAGGGCGGGTAGACAATTTTGAATGTAGCACTATGGTTTTCCAATCACCTGGTGAATGCTTGATGGAAATAATAGATTACTTTTTCTCAACTCTTGAAAAAATAATTGCAATTTGTTTCAGTAAATTTGGGTTTGTGACCAATGTGCCATGTCAGCACTTTGACTAACAAAACGGCAGCGCTTGCCTTCAGCCATTTCAACGTTTTTTGACTATTTATTTATTTAGTTTCCTTTTGTCATTGAAATGTCGTTTGATTGTGTTTGCTCTGGGCAGACAATGACAGCCAGAAATGGAATTATCCTTTCCTTTTTCGATTTTTTCAATGCTATTTGAGTGCTTTGTCGTCGTTTTGTCATGATAATATTTCAAAAAAATCATTTAAGTCTTGGCAGTTTTAAGAAGTAGGGATCCTTATAAGTACAAAAGTTTAACAAATACTTTCGTGTTTAAAAGCTTGTTATTATTTAATTATATTAATGCATTTCTAAAAACAAAGTATTCAGGACACCGTTTATATTTGACCATTCGGTGGATTTTACAGCAGTTTTTCTCTTCTGGTTTGTCTTCATGTAAAATATTTTGTTGCAATTTAAAGACAGGTCAAGCACTAAGCTTTTTATAACCCTCATCTGATAGTCCTTCGTCCCTGCCTTAACTTTGTAGTTTTTGCATTACACGCACAGAGAGCTTTCTGTTCTATTTGCCTAGTCCATGTTGCCCATATGGCTTATGCATAAATCATCATGTGTGATGCGGCCACCGCTCCACGTCATCATCATCGTCATCGCAGGGATGTGAAATGTGCCACAAGTCGGGCCAAATACCAGAAAAGCAGAAAGCGGCCGTGTCCGTGTTCCTGGGTGTCCTGTCCAGGAGCAGCTGCCAACGACGCAGGATACTGATGTTTCGGCTGACATTCCCTTTGCGCTTCTCTCATTATTTTCATTCCGGTTTCCCTTTCTCAATTTATCCCGGGGATAGAGCACTTTAATTGCATTAGCTATGCTCCACTCGACATAATCAGGTGAGTTGAAATTATTCCAACTTAAAACTTTTTTAAGAAACCTTTTTAGATTCGTTAATGCATTACAAATACAAATTTTTTAAGTAAAACTGTTCAAATTCAAGATCCATCACATGGAATTGGTTTTTGTATTAAATTTTCAGCCGAACATTTTTATTTATTTATTTATATTTTGATTTCTTCATATCACATATATATTTTTATTATTTTAAGCGTAACGTCACGTGATATTTCGAAAAATATGTCGTTAAATTGCATTTTTATACCCTTGCAGAGGGTATTATAATTTTGGTCAAAAGTGTGCAACGCAGTGAAGGAGACATCTCCGACCCTATAAAGTATATATATTCTTGATCAGGATCACCTCCTGAGTTGATATAGCCATGTCCGTCTGTCCGTCTGTCCGTCTGTCCGTCTGTCCGTCTGTCCGTCTGTCCGTCTGTCTGTCCGTCTGTCTGTTTCTACGCGAACTAGTCTCTCAGTTTTAAAGATATCGAATTGAAACTTTGCACACACCCTTCTTTCCTTTGCACGCAGTATATAAGTCGGAACGGCCGGGATCGGCCGACTATATCCTATAGCTGCCATATAACTGATTGATCGGAAATGCCATAACTCTGCTGTTTGTTAAGTTAGGAAGTTGGGACTTTCTATGGGTTTTATATTTGGCCAATCAATCCGACGTACCAAATTTCATAAGGATCGGCCGACTATATCTTATAGCTGCCATATAACTGATTGATCGGAAATGCCATAACTTTGGTGTTTGTAAAGTTAGGAAGTTGGGATTTTCTATGGGTTTTATATTTGGCCAATTAATCCGACCTACCAAATTTCATAAGGATCGGCCGACTATATCTTATAGCTGCCATATAACTGATTGATCGGAAATGCCATAACTTTGGTGTTTGGTTTTATTTGTAAAGTTAGGAAGTTGGGATTTTCTATGGGTTTTATTTTTGCCTAATCAATCCGACATATCAAATTTCATAAGGATCGGCCGACTATATTCTATATCTGCCATATAACTGAACGATTGGAAATGATATAACTTTGGTGTTTTTAAAGTTAGGAAGTTGGGATTTTTTATGAGTATTAAGAATGCATTATGAATGATTTTGGAGAATATAATTTGCAGAATATTCTGCAAGGGTATTTCAACTTCGGCTCCGCCCGAAGTTAGCTTTCCTTTCTTGTTTTTAAATGGTGTTATAGGTAGAGTCATAACTTATTTCCTTTTCTTTATAAAAATAGGATTTTTTCGATTTTTATTATTATTTAGTTTATTTTTATTTATTTAATTATTGCTTAAATGCATTTTTTTATTGAAAATATTACTTATATGTAATATGTAAATAATTTAATCTTTATTTAATGCAAGTGTAATGCCAAAATAAGTATTCGTTTTAGCATGATGTATGGTGAATGCCTTAGTTTATTTTTCGTACATGGTTTCACCAAAGCTTCTCAAAGAAAATAAAGCTCAAAAATTGCCTAGTTTAAGTTAAGAAGTCATGCAATGCATAAGGTCTTAAATAAGTTGGGCGTTTACCAAATACGAGTGCAGGAAGTAAGAAAATACAAAATGAGAAAATCAACATTGGAAAAATTAGTCCAAGTAATGGATCGAAATGAAAAAGGAATCCATTTAAATCGAGCGGCTAGCTAAACTTGAATTTTAATGAGTTAATGGTCCTAAGCTGTTCTAAGCTAAAAACACTTCTATATTATTTATGCTTGGCCAATTGTCTCGTGGTTGCGTTTAAATTTGGACTAAAACTTACTGGACCGCTACATTTCGTTAACGACTAAATTGTGATTTGGATTGTTTTTTCATTGATTGGAAGACTTCGATTTGGGTTTAGTTTTCTGTTGCTTCATTAAGAATTTGGAACTTCTTTTGGTTTTTGGTTTTGGTTTTGATTTTGTTACGTACCGATCATAACCCGGGCTGGGACTGCATTCCATTCCAGCCAAAATGTGATAAACGACGAGGTGACCAATATAATGCCAGGTATGAAAACGGTTGTAAAATAATACGCACGATCACGGGTAAATGTCAACTCGACCTGTAGGCAACTGTAATTACCTTAAGAAACAAGGCCGGAATTATGCAAATTCGGCCAGAGGTTAACACACGCACACACACAGAGACAGACAGTTAAAGAGGGAGAGAGAGATAGATAGATTTGCCTATTTTGTTGGAGGATGCTTTTTTTGGAGTTCAATTCAGGGCCTAGACTAGCCTATATTATTTCCCGACTTTTGGCTTCTGTTGGCTAACTATACTCAGATTGGAGAAGGGGGAAAAAATATGCGAACTTAAATAACATAAATTGAGGTTCGGTAATTTGGGATTTGCTTTCCAGATTTTTAGTGGAGTGGATGGCTCATGTTCAAGGAACAGAACCCATGCAGCAAACCTTAAACTCTAGGATCTCATTGGTGTGGGCATACTTTGGTGGGGCACTGTATTTATTTTTTGCTACTACTTGGCCGCATTAAAATGAAATGGCAAAGTGACAATTATAAATCATAAAATTGTACAAATTACATTACAGAAGGGCAATCGAAAAAGGCAAATGCTACGAAAGGCGGAAAGTAAATCAATTCTCAATGGCGTACAAAATTGATTTTTGGTTTGGTTAATTTCTTAAAAGTACGTATTTTTATTAAGAGTATTTTTTTTTGGTTTGGTTTAGTGTGAGAGAGAGAGCGAGGGCAAAAATTGGTTATGTTTGTTTGATTGGATTGGTTGGTTGGTATTTTGGTATTGTTACCTATCATCGATCTAGCTGGCACGGCATTCCATTCCAGCCAGAAAGTTATAAAGGACGACGTCACCAATATAATGCCGGGTATAAAAACGGTGGTGAAATAGAATGCACGATCTCTGGTAAAGATTAAATCGACCCTAAGACAGCTGTAGTTCCCTAGGGGCATTATTTGTTTTGTTTTGGTTTTTGGATATTTTTTGTTGGTTGTTTTGTAGCGTTTTTATAAGAGAGGAGCAGTGGGAAGGTAGACAAAGAGTAGACCATTAGATAGGCATTGGATTGATTTTTGTAAATTCTTTGCTAAAATGTAAAAGCTGCAAAAGCAAGTCTAGCCGAAATCTGAGACTACGAAAGTAAATCAAGACAAAATTAACTTTAAAAGCCAAGCCAAAGAATGGAGTACTAAACTGAGGAGGTCCGTTTGAAAGAAACCTAAAATAATTGTTGTATGTTGTATACAAAAAATACCATTTTACCGGAAAACACTACAGTTACTAAAGAGCAAAATTTCCCAGTTGTAATTTCTTTGGCTAATACAAAGTATAAGCAAATGAAGTGATTGGCAATCGAGGCGAATCGAGATCCCAACGACTTACCTCTCCAGCTGTTTTGATCGCAGGCCGTTGTTTGATTCTTGATCAAGTACGCATTTAATGTGGTCAGCGAAGGACTTTTCCGCAGAGTGTCCTCATCGTTTTTCCAGACGTATTTGATTTGGGCCTCCTCGTAGGAAACTGCACAAGGACGAGAGGAGAGTTCATATTTTAGAAACAATTGGATTACATTCCCAATCCCCTCATCCCCATCATCCCCTTATTAATTAATTAGATTAATGTAAATAGGCAGAGATACGCAAATACATGTTGTCTGAGCCATTTGTCTGGGTTCGGGCCCAGACCCAGCAAATTAAATCATATTTGACAAACAAGCCATGACAAGCAGGCAAAAGGCACTACACTTCGATGGATGTTTCCCCCTCGTAGATGAAAATCTCGGCAGGAACCGACATCATCATCCTCTCAAAGTAATTTACGATGTTGCTCACGTTCTTAGCCGATGTTTCCAAGAGGGTTGTGTTGGGTTGTATTGGGTTGGCTTGGGTTGGGAACCGGAAACAACTTTCGAAAACAATGTAAAGACAAAAAGCCCAGAACAAGGCTGACTGTCTGCGTCTGTCTGTGTGGCAGGCAGTCAGCCTTGTTAGTCACTTTGTCAGCTTTTGTCGTTTAGGCCCGGCCCCCCTCCTTTTGCTGGTGCCACGCCCCTTTAGACACCATCGCCTCCTCCATTGTTGCATAAACACACAGCCAAACACACAGACAAATGCAGATGGAGGCAAAGATTTCCCCTGAGTGGCAGTCAACACGCTCGCCTGCCCATCTTTTTATCATCAGAACATCAACATCTTGAGGTTCCCTTTCAACACTTTGGGATTGTCACATTATTTATACATCAATCCTCCTCGCAGGCTCTTCAAATGTATTGTTTAAAAATACTTTACTCTGAGCATTTGTTTTTGACGTCTTGATTCTGAGCTCTTCAATATTTTAACGATTTAATGTACTAATTGAAAAGAGATCTTTTATTCTTTTCGTTTATGAATTTTAAGTTATTTGACTTCAGCAATGCACTTTTCACTTAGCACTTAGTACTTGGGTAATTTTAAAAGCTGAGCCTTCTTTAAAGCCTCTCCTATGTCTGGAATTACGCTCATCCCAAAATTAAAGTTTTAATATTTAATTGTTTAATTGGTGGAAAATTGTTTTATTTTTTCAATCAGTGGTGACTGATTTTGTAAACAAAATTCAAAAGCTGACAATGCCTTTGATTTTTAAATTTTTGTAATTTTTTCTGTATTCTTGTAATGTTAATAAGCAATTGTTTAAAAAAAGGATACTGAAATATTGGATGCTTTTATTTTACGTCCAAAATATCTAAAGCCTCAAGAGTACCCCCTTATTAAATGCTACATTATTGACTAATAAAAGTAATTTTGGTGGTAATAGGAATATATTTCTACTTACTGCTCTCCATGGAGAAGGAACACTTTGGATCATCGAATGGAAATATGTGAAGACTTCCCTGGCAGGATAAGATCAGGTGACGTCTAAAGAAAAAGACAAATAATGTTAAGAAATTATCTCTAAAATATTATATATTTCGCCAGCGTTATAACCAGTTTAAGCCTCAAATGTCGAATAAAGAATTTTCTATCGGCCCAAAGATAAATATTTTATTGATTTCGTATTTTTTATGATTCTATATATATAGATAACCCACTTTTACAATTGACTCTCTCGTATATGTGGATTAAACTTAAAACAAGGAAAATATATTTACACGCATTTTATGATTTCTCAACATTTAAATATTTTTGGAACGTTTGGATGTGATTCATTTTTTGACCTCATAACTCTTGGAATTTTGCCCTCGAGTAATTTCATGCTTGTCTTTGCCACTTAATATCTCGCTTTGTTCAACAGCATCAATTCATAATTTTCCACCCGTGTCGCTGTCGCTTTTCCAGCAAGTTTTTCCGACGTTTCTCCTTGTCGGCTATGCAAACAGGAAAAGGGAAATGCTGGACCAGAAAAAGCTGGGAAAGTAAATGGCAACTGCAACTTATTTTAATTGCTGGACGACACTTTTGCGCTATGCAGTCAATTGGAAAAGTTCTGTTGAATTAAAAATGTAGACAAGTTGGAAAAAAGGGGGCCGAGCGAAAAAGGGGAAAAGAAGACAAACATGAGCATCCAACAAATGGTGGCCATATTGTGAAAAGTTTCTCTCATTTTTTCCCCAGCAACTGACATACGAGCCTGAATGTTTAGCTGGGCAGGACTTGGGATATATGTACTTTGTACCTGGCCAAATATTTACATACCTACTTTTTACTTTTTACTTATATTCCTCTATTCGTCTACGTTGCCTTCTCCATTTCTTGCGCTATTTTTCATTACAGCCTCGTATGTTTGCCGGCTAGCTTACATATTTTGTGCGCCCTTTCCTCAAATTTTCCACTAGCCAGCGAGAAATAAAAATTGTGGAAAATTGAGCAAAAGAAGCAGCAGAAAAAAGCAGAGAGAATAAAAAAATATTGCCGCCCTGCCTGTCATCTTGCTCTCCCTAATGAATATGAACTTTGAGCGAAAATTTGCATTTTCTGGCGCCATTAAAGCCGCTTAGCCCGGCCTCGTCTCCGGTTTTGTATAAAAAATTCATTCATATTCAAATCGGGCTGCAGAGCAGACACACACCTCATTGCGTACGTAATGGTCCCGTTCCGATATATTCTTAAAGCGAAATGCATTGGTATGATGGGATCCTTGAAATCGCCATGCATAATGAAATACGTATCCGGCGTCCAGATGCTATCATGATGATGCAGAGCATTTAAGAAGTCGTAATGAGACTTATTGCCATATTGCAGTCGCGGATCGTTCCACTGCTGGTTCAGCAGGAATTCCACCTCGTATTTCTGCAAGCAACCATTTCTGTAAAAAGCATACTACTTCCAATTGTCCTTGGACTTACCAAACTACTTTCATCGGGCGATGCTAAGCTCAGGAGCAGCACGTTCACGTTCACTGTCAGAGTGCCTATTAAAAAAGGATTTAAGCACAATAGTGGTCTACTATAAAAATATATTATTGAAATGCCATAGAAGTGCCAGAAGAAAATCAAATTCTAGTCACCAACAATCAAATAAAAGAGAGTGGCTGTCTACTAAAAATATAACTTAAAGATAATCAAGAGAAGTGCCAAACGAAGAAGAAATGTTGGTTGATGAATGCTACCCCAATTGAAATGGGAACAAAAACTACAATTTCAGACAAATCTACCGTCATTGCGAAAACGAAAATTCTTTTGATTAAAACTTTTTAGGAATACATAGGAAGAAAGAATGACTAGACTTGTGAAACAGTTTTAATTTTTTCTTGTTTATTTTTTTTAATGTAATCATTATTATATTTATTAAATGTAAGAAAAATGTAAGAACAATCTAAATCAGTTTGACTGACCTACAAAAGTATATTGGGGATGGAAAAAAAAAAAATTTCGTAAGAAAGTTAGCTCTATAAAAACAAGAACAAACTTAAAATGTCAGATATAAAGTGCATCCATAATATAAAAGTCCAAGAGAAGACACCAACCGCGATTGTGTGGTCTCCGTGCATTTTGATTAGTTGCCATATCGGGCGATTGCAAACCACAGCAAAAGTCTTCATCTGCAAAAATTGAAGGATAGTAGTCTGAACAATTTCGGGTCAAAACAATTAGCTTTAAGCTATGCTCTTTCTCATTATATTTTTTAAATTTAAGATATCCCCTGAATAACAAAGTATAAAACTTTAAAACTGTCCCAACAATGTAATGTAATGATTTCCCAAAGCATAAACATATCGAAAGTAATGTAATTGCATTGTATAGAAGGACTGCCCAAAGATAGTGACCATCCCACCCTCAAAGTGACCACTTCTTTTGTGCATCGCATCCAGGGCAGTGGAGCCATTAACTTTAATTGATTTTATAGTGTCCATACGTCGTGGCCTGGCTCCTCCAATGGTTGTCTGCTTGTTGTCATTTGGCAACCAAGTCTGAAAACATCCCGCGACTTTCCAGCGACTTTTAATAGCACAAAAACTAAGTATTGTTCCCCACACTATCCACTTAGGAAAATTGGAAATTTAATCGAAACAATGTGGAAATGACGGATAAGTTCTGAAACTTCTTACCATTTACAGGCGGCAGTAATCGTTTATCGTAGCGCTTCTTCTCAAGCAGTAAATCTAATATCTCCTTATCCGAACTGGACTCGTCGAATCTGCAGGGAACACCAGAAGATTGGTTTTAAATTTGTAGAAACCATTTATGATACTTTGTGTTAGTAATTGTCAAAATATAAACTTTGTTATTTTCCCAAGAAATCTTTTATGTACAACAGTTTTGTGTGCTGTTTAAAATGGGAAGATTGTTATTTTGTGGATAAATTAGTAGAACAAGAAATCCAATTAAACGATAATATCATTTAAATCATAGCTAAGCAGTAAAATTAATAACTTTCCTATTTAGAAAGCAAAGCCAATTTATTTTTGATAACAAGAAATTTGTTACGACAAATTGCTTAGAGTCTGAAAATTATTGATTTGCCATGAAGTAGTTTGTGAAGCATTTAAGTTTGGGCAAATTATAAAATAGTTTTCAAATTGCATGCATAACGTCAGCAGAACGAAGCTGAGAAAAACCAATTACCTCAACGGGATATCAAATAAACTCAAAAAAGTATTGTGAGTGCCAAAACGAAACTTCATAATTTGGGTAAAAGACGAAACCAAAAACTCTAGTTTGCTCTTTTTCCATATATTCTCTGATTTCGTTTTTTTTTTAGAGAGGAAAGAAGGTGTGCATTAACTTACTTCGACCAATCGATGCCATGACTGAAAGAATTTCAAAAAGAAAAAAATAAATAGAACAATTTTTGTACGTGTTGTGGATAGGATTACCAGGCGATACAGATTGATAGATATGTGGAGATACAGATATATGGGTAGGAAAATAGAGGGGCAGAGTGTGTGCTCAGGGGTAATAAAATAAAATGGGTGTGTTCCGAAAAGCAACCAATTCGCCTTGATTTTAACTCTAAGTTCTACACTTGACTTTGTTTTTTGAGATATTTTAAAATGCTAATTTAATTATATGCTTTTGCATATAATTCAAAACCATTTCAAATAAGAGAATATTTAACTAATGATGGCTTGTTGTTAATGGATTACTTAAGAAAGTTTACAACTAATTTATAGACAATTATATTAATATAGATTAGACTTTACCGAGCCTTCGCTGACAATGCTAACATTTAAATATTAGTTTTGTGTTAAACGATATCGAGTCTTTATGATAAAAACTTTTTCTGTTGTCTATTTCGATAACCAATTTTTAGGTCTTGGCGTTTGGCTTATGATAAAAAGAGATTATAAATAGATCTGATATTAAATTTTGAAAAAATGTATATGTCTGCTTCAGGGAATTGGAAGCGGAAATACACGTTGTATCACCTTCATATTTAACTAAATGTATTGTTCAATTAAAGAGTAAAATGCAGGCGAATTGCGCAACTAGGCGTTCGAGTACGGAATGCACTCACATCGGATGCTTGTCGAGGACTCCCGTCTCCGACTGCGTGGCAGCCGCCGTGGACGCGGTGGTCAGGTAGCAGAGCATCAGGATGACGCTGGAGGCGGCGTAGAAGCTGATCGACTGGCTGTAGTGCTTGTAGTGCTGGCCAAGGCACTGGAGGGCGGCCGCCGAGGTGGCCGCCGCCGTGGCGCCGACGTTGGCGATGAGGGCCGCCGACATGGTGGCGGGCAGGGGGGTCTCGGCGAACGCATGTCCTTGCCACGGCCGGTAGGCTAGTGGCTGGCGGTCCAGCGGACTCTCGTCCTGCTTCTGCAGCGTTTTCGCTAGGGCGGCGAGGGCGTGGATGTGCAGGGAGAGCGCTGAGAGGCCGGCCATTGCGGCCGGGGCCTGGGACTTTGGGCCGCCGGCGGGATCCGCCAGGTGGCGCCTTCGCCGGCGGGCATGATGCTGCCGACGCTCATCCCGCTCCTCATCCCGCTCGGCGATTTGCTGCCTGCCTGCTGCCGCAATATCGATTCCGATTCTGGCAGCCGTATCGACAACGGAGCCCCGCCTCGCCAACGCGTCCTCGCCTTCGTCCTTGTGCGTTTCAGCCACTTGACTACCGCGCTGGCTCTTCTCCTGACGTGCCTGCCGTATCGTTAAAAGCACTTGAGCCGTCGCTTTTAGATGTTCGGGCCCAGTTTCTGCCTCTGTTTCTGTTTCAGCCTCTGATTGTGCTTGGGCTGCTGTTTGTGTTTGTGTTTCGGATTCGGATTCGGATTCGGTTTCGGTTTGGGTTTTATGGTTCTGTTGATAGTTATCCTTGATTTTGATGTCCTCAGCTGGCTTGTCGTTTGCTCTGGCAGCGGCCTTGCCTCCGCTCCCCGCCGCTGCTGCTCTCCCACGGCATTGGCTTCGCCTGAGTTGCTTGCGTCTCGGTTTGTGGGGCTGCTCTTTGGCCGCTTCAAAGACGCAGCCCATGTTACGACAACTGCAAAGAAGTGTGTACAAAGAATAACGTTTTAATTTATGTGGCACACCACTTGGGCAATATATGCCGCTTGTTGGGCCTAACAATGGAAAATACTGTTGCTGAGACATTTTCAGAATCCTGTTTCGGGAGAATGTTTTCCGCAAATCAAAAAAATTCGTTAAAGGTTATTATCGGCAGCCAACAGTTTTTTATTTGACCATTCCATTGAGCCAAAAAACTCCTAAAAACAAGACAATTTTTTATTTTAGGTAGTTCCCCTATAAAATGTTTGTACATCTCTCAAAAATACATATTTAAAATAATAAGGAAAGTGTATTATTTCTAAGTCTTCAAAGGCCGATCTGGCTTAATATCTTGCTGTGTTTATATTTATTATCATTTCCAAATTGATATTTTGTTGAGATAAAAATTTTAAAAGACACCAACAATCCCAATAATTTGTTTATTGATTCTTTTTTATTTACAACTGTCGTTTCCCCGTATAGTCAGTTTTCTCGTTTTTATGGTAAGCTTAAAGAAGGTTTTAAGCTGAGAAAAGCTATATAATTTCGCAATTTAAATCATAATTGTAGCTTACCATTCAAACGAGAGAACTGACCATAAGGATTGGTTAAAAATAATGGTTTTATTAATAATTTCAATATCACATTTAACAAGAAAATAAAGCAAATTTCGACAAACCGAAGTTTATTTGGCCTTGCAAGTGTTATTAAAATAAAGTATTCTAAATTTAGATTTGTATGCTTATAAACAATAGAGACATGTCGATTTTCTGATAAATTTATCCATCGTTCCTATGGTAGCCATATCATATAGTGGCCCGACTTTCATAAAATTAAAAAAACGATTCTAAAATTCGTACTTTTAAAAAACGAAGCTTTGATATTTTTATTATTACTAATATTTGTATTATTATTTTGTATATTACGTGCAATAGAAATAATACATTTAGGAAAGTTTATTTCATATAGTCTTAAAACTTACAGACTAGTTTGCGTAGAAACTGACTTGGCTAGATAAACTCTTCAGGTGATGCTGATCAAGAGTGTGTATGTTTTTTAGGGTCGGATAAGTCATCTGCATTTCGTTACAAATTTTCTTAATGAAATTATAATACCCTCTGCAACTGTATACAAATTCGTCAGCAATGAAAAAACTTGTCTGCTCAGAATGTCTATTTCCTGGCCCCAAATAATTTCTGTCAGCAAACTCACCAGTAAACTATTAGGCTGAATTTCAATTTCACAGCACCCCCTAAAACTAATTAACCTCGGCGAAAGCAATTCGCGCGGCACAATCTGAAATAAAAATCTATCGTCACCCACTTGATTGTCGTTTCCAATGACTTGGCTCCATCAACACTCGCCCCGTACATATAGGATGTGATTGATGTGGCAATATTGGATTGCTGCGGCCCAACGGCCACGCCCACCTGCGTGCACAACTAACCGTGAATGTCAGTTGCCAAATAAAGGTTCCTGGAACCGATTTACGACTGCCACAGAAAAACTTTAATTTTCCATGTAATTTCAATCGTATTTGGAACTTTGTGAAATTCTATAATATTAGTTGACTGCAGTGCTTTTGTGAATTATAGGGACAAGTGTCTTAGGTTCAATTGACTGTCAAAAAATGGTAGGGTTGATTATGATTTTTGAAAACAATATTTTAAGTAAACTGTACAAATCTTAACGTAAATTAATAATAAAGAAACAAAAGCACCTAAAAAATAGATTTATTGTAATAAATAGTTTATTGTTCCCCGCACTTCTGAAACCTTTATAAATGCATGTTATTATGTTATGCAGAAATTCATTTCCTTGGTTTTAAATAAAATATTATAACGTAGCTGTCTTTAATATAATTAAAATATTTTCTTCAATATGAACTCCCGAAAATGCACACAAATGTTTTTGAAAATTGTATATTAACTTATTTTGTATTCCTTCCTGTATGGAGACATTATTTGTATCTAAAATAGGTTTTACCAAGACAAAGACTAAAAGCCATTTTGGAATTCAATTTTCGTAGAACATATTGGCTAAAAAATTGAACACATAAGTCTGCAAAACTCGATGTACCCTAGTGTAAGAGGTTTAGACCAGACCCAAAAACCGAATGTCAGTCAGCCAGTCAATGGGCCAAACGAATTTTTATTGTTGCCTGTCAAAGGCTGTCTTTTGCCTGTCTTCCGATGGCTGCTGTTGTTGCCATTTCGGCTGTTGCCATTGTAGTTGTTGCTGTTGTGGTTGTCAGCTTGTGGCCAAGTCTGGGAGGAATGCAATTTTCGTTTCGGCCAATGTATATGTAGTTTTCAAGTAGGTACAAGTTTGGCTATATTCTAACATTTATTCAACATGCAAAGGCCATTGCACTAACTGAAATGAATTCAAACCGCAAAAATTCAATTTCCGCTTTTGCTCTGGATAAAACTTCAGAATAAATAGATATCCTTTGAGAAACAGTGATTTGGGTCTGATTAGATATGTATGTATATGAGTTGAATGCATGTTTGAACATATGTATTTATCGGTACGTACCATATAATCGGCTTATATTGAAAGCAGTTTAAGAAAACTCGTATAAGCTGCTTAGGGAAATTTATTTAAATACTTTTAAGAAAAAGTTTACAGATTAAGATACAGAAAACATCGGAACAAAACCGCAGTCAATTTAAAGTTGATTGCCTGAACGGCTTATTCCAACCATATGGAAAAGCCAGTGAAAAACTTTGACATGAGTGAGACTGCTCTCTATCCTTTTCCCCTGTAACCAAAGGAAAACCGCAGAAAACACAGACAATCCCACTAAAGCGGGCACTCAGTGGCTTTGGGATGCCCACCCCCAAATTCAGGGTCTTCATTATACATTTATTCGATTTTTACGTGACTTTGGCCATAAAGCACAAAAATAAACCCCAAGACAGCAGATACTCGTACCAAAAGTAATAGGCATAGAAACTAGGGAAGGCCACGAAGAGGTCTTGTAAATGGGTCTCATATACAAATTGGTGCCGATATAGCGTATACGTGTTTTCCTTGGCCCCATCTCCAGGTCCCTCCCACATGTGCCACGACAATTATTGACCTCAATCTATTTTAAACGCCGGTTCGACTTTCTTTTTGTTTCGGGGTGGTGTACCGAAAATGTCAAAAAACGTTAACTCAATGAGAACTTTTTGAGCGAAGCAGAAAGCTCAGAAAAAAGGGCAGAGACTACAGAAATTACTGACCATAGATCAGTTCATACCGGGCTTCCTTTGAGTCCTTCCTGGCCTTCCCCGCTGATATCCTTCATGCCTTCCGGGGCATAAATTTACACAAACCGCCGACTGCAGCTTGGCCAAAGTTAATCCTGCCATCGTCTGGCGGCCGGAAACGGCGCCAACTGACAGGCCAAGCCAACAACTAACCCGAAACACAACCAATCCCCCTTCCCTTAGCCCTTTTTTTGTTCTTTGGCTTAGTTTAGTTCGTTGTGCATTTCATTTTACGCTCCCAACTTTTTCATATTTTTACCCGAGCAACTTTTCATATTCCGTATCTGCAGCTGTATCTTCGTTTTGTATCTTTTTTGTTGGTGCGACTCGTTCAGTCAATTTAATAATTTGCTGCTAGTTTTTGCCTCCATTTAAATTAGTTGACATTGTGGGGGGATTTACAACCAACATTATTTGCATACTTTTGGGAGGGCGCTTTTGTTGCGGTCGTGGCCACATGTCGGATACTTAATATCTCTCGGACCGACAAACATTTCGAGCACGTTCTGTGCTGGATCAGCTTTAATGCCCTAATTTGCAATCTCCCCAAATCAAGCGGCAATCCAATTAGATGTTAGACCAACACTTTTGAAGCTGGGTAGAGTTAATTGAAAATTCCATTAAATTTAATGGGATAGCAACTATTTTCCAGGATGAGTAATTGGAAATTACGGCTGCTGGCGACTAGTTAAAAGGTAAGAGCAGAATTTAACATTCATTGATTTCATTATTTGATTATTATATGTTTGTAAATTATCTTAAGAAAATAGTCAATTTCCATAAAATATTGTATTAATAAATCTTCATTATTTAGCCTACCTAATTTTAAACTAACCTTCAGGCCACTCTACTGACTTAAATGCCTATATAAAGAAACCTTTTAGGGAAAATATTTAAATTTGGCGTTAAACTGACAAGTCTCGGTCACAGACCAACGAGTAACCTCAGTAAACAAAATGACAATAAAAACTTTAGCCACAACGACAATAACAATAGCAACAAGCAACAATTACAAACAACTTGTTATCGATTTTTCGGGCGTCAGTGTTTGCCATGGCGCCATTGTTCGAAGTCACGAACTTTCCAGTGACAGAAAAGACAAGAGCAAAAATAAAGTTGATTAAACCCATTGAAATTTTCCTGGCTTTTAACGGATCCTATATAGTATAACCACGTATATATAAAGATTGTGGGCGGCCAAATGGGGGCATTGTTGTGTTGAAGGCAGCTCTACAAATTATGAATGTGGACAACTCAACAAATTGTAAATTAATCCATTGTTCTAAAAGAGTTGTCCGTATTACACAGTGGGAAAGGCATCTTTAAAGTGTTATTAAAAGAACAAACAAATAAAATTCGCTCAAACAGACGTTTATAAGTATGTTAAGCATTAATTATGGGCGTGTTATTATTTTGGAGAACCAGGTACTAATTTTATAAAAGTAGTTTCTAAGTGTGCCAATTCTATGCAATATGCAGTTGGGCTTAAATAAGTTAACTCTGTTATTACTGCTCATCCTGAATTTACATCATTGTCCTGCACTTCAATCAAATCTGTGTAAAATGAAATCCATATATAATGAGCTTTGCTGCCCGCAGGCCATAATGGACCATAATCTGTTGCATTAAGAGTTATTAAAATGTCATGGCATAGACCAAAAATGTATGGCCCGGCAAATGTGGTAATTGAAGAAGGGCACTTGACCCAGTTTACTGGCAGATTGCATTGGGAAATTGG